ACAGTGTATATCTCTCAGGAATCAGTTGCAATATGTTAAAAGGGTTGTCTTAATTAGAATTTCATAATAACTTAAGATGGATCGTAAATCCTTGCAACAAGGATCTGTTTTGTGACAAGTATAGAAATATCACTGTTTTAAAGCGTTATATCAAGCCAAATTTCATGCAGGAATGGTTTACCATGTAAGCTGGAGAAACATGTGAGTGTTTTTGTCTGTTTAGTCTAACTCTTGAAAGAGTAAGCGTCGCAGGGGTACCTCACTCTCTACTCTACTTTTTTTCTCTGCCCCCCCTCCCCCCCCACCATTCTCTCTGCCCTGTGCCCCCATACCTGCACCTCTGCCCTTCTCTTCCCAAAGTTCACTCCCTCCTATCAGGGTTACCCTTTCACTCTCACATTTTCTCTCCTCCACCCTATGCCCCCATATAAAGATGGACCACTCCCCTTCTCCTTAAAATGTTTACTCCCTCCTTTGGGGGTAACCGCTGTCACACAGCAAGGCTGAGAGGTAGCCATGCAAGACACGTGCATCCTCGGGCGCCAACCAAGCAGAAATCCTGCCTATTCCACCATCATATTGATCTAGTGATGTTATTCAAGTCCACAGAGAACAACACACTTAACAAATAGGCATGGATGAGATCACGTCTAGCTGTAGCTGATTGCTTTAAAAATAAACATACTTAGGTATAGGTACTTATCCTTTTTGGACTTATTGTCTTGTCATTATTCTAATGGAATTGTTTTGAATGTATGCAGATACATGTAGAATGTAAATATCATTAAATGTTTGTGTGTGCAGGAAGAGAGAGGGACAGAAGGATATTGAAAATAAAAGAGAAATCATGTATACAATCAGCAGTAAATATCAACACATCAAAATGGTGTGATAGAGAATTTGATAGAGAAAATGGGGGAACATGTTTTGGTAGGAGGGAGGGGGATAGAAAGTGAGGAATAGAGAGAGAGAGAGAGAGAGAGAGAGATTTGGTGAAATAGAGAGGGGTTAAGAAGAGAAGTGCAATGGAAATCAAATATTTGTGTCTGCATGAAGAGAGAGAGAGAGAGGGGGGGGGGGGGGGTATTGAAAGTAAAAGAGAGATAATGGATATAATCATCAGTAGATATGAACACATCAAAATGGCTTGATAGAGAATAAGAGAGAATGTATAATGGTAGCAGAGGGGTGTATAGAGAGGAGAGATAAAGATAGAGAGAGAGAGAGATGGAGGGAGAGAGATAGATATAACACATCACATGGCTTAATGGAGAATAAGAGGGAATAAGAGAATATGCAATGATAAGGGATGGGGAGAGAGTGGGCGGAAGATTTAGATAAGTAAGGGGAGACTTGACAAAATTAATGTGTTCTGTCATTATCATCACCCATACCTTCGCCAAGTAATGTTTCTGCTGATATCAATGATCACTCCCATTTGGATGTAGAGGGAAGATCAAGAGAGGAAAACAATTGAAATGGAGTGGGAGCAATTTAAGAGCAGTAGTGAAAGGAAAAGAGAAAGTGATGGAAAGAATGGGAAAATAGGTGCTGCAGACTTGTGAATGAAAGAAGAAAGACAAAATGAAGGCGCACTATTACCGGTACATTGTTATTTTCCACCATCACAAGGTAATGTATGTGTAAGCATTAATGATCACTTCCATACAAGATAATGAAGTATAATGAAGGAGAAGACTGGAGATAGAGTGAGAGGAGTAAACACATTGTTAGAGTTAGAAACATTTAGGGGAATTGGAGAAAGGGAAAGAGAATGGGATAGAATGAGAGGGAAAATGGAAGCCTGTGATAGAAAGGAGAGAGACAAAATGAATGTATACTGCCAAAATGTTGTTGTTTTATACCATCACAAGATGTATCTCTCAACATTCGTAATCACTGCGATTGGATATAATACGGAGTGATTATTATGGTTGGGGGAAAGAGAGAGAGAGAGAGAAAGAGAGAAGGGGATCAAGAGAGAGAGAGAGAGAGAGGGGGAGAGGGGGGGGGGGGGGGGGGAGAGAGAGACATGTGTAGGAGATAAGGAAAGAGTATGGGTAGATGGGGAACTGAGTGCACAGCAAAGGAAGGAAGAAAAGCATAATGAATGTACTGGCACATTGTTTTGATTCTCTGTTGGGACAGGGTAATGAATGTGCTGACATTAATGATCTCTCCCATCTCTGCCATTACAGATAAGTGAGAAGGTGAGGGAAAAAGTGAGAGTTAGAGGTCCGACAAAGATGGACAGAGAAGGAGGGAGGGAGTGCATATGGAAAGAAAGCAGAAACTACTGTGAGCTGCTACACTGATGCTGTCAGATCAGTGCAGAATTTGAATTGATTTTCATTGGGATTATATCTTACATCTGCTTAACGTTGATCTTTTAGTAACTAAAAGTGTCTAGGAAAGAGATGATGAGAAAAATGAAATTGCGGAAGATAAAAAAAACAGAGTAGAATGAAGGGAAATTTAGGTAGAAAGAGAGTGAGAGAGAGGGAGAGAGAGAGGGAGGGAGAGAGAGAGAGAGAGAGAGATTGAGGAAGGGGGGGGGGGATGAGAGGGAGAGAGACAAACACACTCTTGAAGTTTCATGAACTAATTTTTGTTCTTATATGAGAACTTTTTAACAAGATTTTTACTATGCTGATGCTATTATCTAACTAGCAAAAGCAAAAATGCATTAGTTGTCCAACACACAGAGAGAAACAAAGAGGGTCAGAAACACACAGACGAGGACAGGGATACAACACATGTGCACTCCCACGTTGACGTCATGCCACAACTTCTCGGAGGAATCAAAGTCAACTTCGTGATTGAAGAGAAGACTTAAATTGTTTTTACATTAATGATCATTCTGGTTACCAAGAGCCGGGGGAAAAGAATTAATGAGAAAATGAGGGAGAAACTGAGATAAAAGTAGGGATTGATGTATAGAGAGGCAGGCATTAAACGAATGTGAACCTTACCAGTGTCCTCCTAAGAGGATCCTAGACAAAGACATAAATCTTTCTTATATTAATGATCATTCTGCTTACAGAGTAAGAGAGATGCAACAAAGATGGAAGGAAAGTGTTTGTGAAACAGAGACAGAGATAAAGAGAGAGAAAGAGAGCGAGAGAGAGAGAGAGAGAGAGAGAGAGAGAGAGAGAGAGGGGGAGAGGGGGGAGAGGGGGAGGGAGAGGGAGAGAGAGAGAGAGAGAGAGAGAGAGAGAGAGAGAGAGATCAATTTGCTAACAGAGAGAGAGATGCAAGAAAAGTAAAGACGGAAGGAAATGTCAGTTAAACAAAAAGAGAGAGAAAATTGGAGGACATAAATCTTTGTTATATCTATGATCATCCTGCTCACAGGTAAAAGAGAAACAGTAAATAAGTATGACAAAAATGTTAATGTGTTAGTGTGTGTGTCTGTGTGTGTGTGTGTGTGAGAGAGAGAGAGAGAGAGAGAGAGAGAGAAGACATAGAGAAGTGAAAAGACAAAGCAAAACTTAACATCCTTGGTGAGAACCAATTTTTTAAATATAAAAGATGATTAGATATTTATGTCAAATTTAAGAAAGAGAGATAGATATAATAAATGAAGATGAAGAAATAGCAGAATAGAAAGGAAGAGGACTGGGAAAAAGACTACACAAACCTGTGACCATTTTGATTGGTATAATGACACATTATTTTTATAGCTTAATTATCATTCTTATTTGAGAGAGTTTGAGGGGAAATAACAATGAAAACGAAAACATGGAAGAAATTCAGAGAGAGATAGAGAGACAGAAAAGGGGAAAAGGGGAAGGATAGAGAGACAAGACAAATAAAAGGCAAACAATGATGCGATGCTGTCTAAAATACCCAGTGGTATAAGAGTCAATATTTTGATAGAAATGAGTTGTTTAACAGTAATAATCATTCTTATTAGAGAGAGTGTCAAGGGAAATGAGAATGGAAAAAAAAAAACTTGTCTGAACCTTGGTAAAAGGCACTGAAGGACAAATACAGATGAAGAAGAAGAACAGAAATGTTGGTAAGCTGTTGATGTCATATAAAAACCACCTAAGGATGTTATAGTCAATATTTGATTGAGTTGATTACTCTAATGTGGTGAAGATTAATGATGATTCTGGTTAAAGAGATAGGCAGGAAAAAGCCAAATGAGGGAGATTGACACTGAGAGGAACAGTGAGATGGAGAGAAAGGTGGATAGAGAAAGGGGGAGAGAGATGAAGGAGGGAGGAAGGGAGAAAGGGAAGAGGGCAAGAGAGAGAGAGAGAGAGGGATAGAGAGAGAGAGAGAGAGACAGATAGATAGTTATTCTTTAACTTCTGGTGAGTGTATGTGCCTATGCTTTCACTCTTCTGCAGATTATGAGAGAGAGAGAGAGAGAGAGAGAGAAAGAAAGAGATTTTTAAATTTTTTTTTATTCGACAAGCTTCCAACATACAACAATATACAATAATGTAAAATGTTTATCTTCTGATTCTTTCAAAACTCATCTCAAAACATTCCTTTTCAAGTCTTGATCGTTTTTCCTGTTTACACGCGCCTCGAGCACTCCACAGAGGTGATTTGGCGCGATATAAGTTACATTATTATTATTATTATTATTTATAATAACAGATCAAAAATAAGTTAGCTTGAACAGGATAACCCACGAGAGATGAAGGAAGAGAGAGAGAGAGAGAGAGAAGAGACAAACAGTCATAGACAGAGAAAAGAGGGTGAGGGGGAGACACTGTATGAGTATAAGTAGTTTTAGGAGGAAAAACAAGCTGTTTTAGGCTTTCGTCCTGTATCCCATTGCTCTGAGGGTTATAGTATATAATGCCCTGCTTTCTCTCTCTCTCTCTCTCTCTCTCTCTCTCTCTCTTTCACATAAATGTGTGGAGTGTAGAACGAGTTTGTGAATAATATGACGTCTCGGATGTCTCAAGCAAGAGTCTCAATTCTTTTTAGACGTCAATGATGATTAAGGAAACCCTACATGCTACTTTCCTCTCAGCCGAATGACGTCATACTTGAGGAAAGAAAGGTGTATTTCATACGCATGTAGGATCTGTTCTTTCCCGAGGGTGGCGTCCTGTACTACTGATTTTTTGTTTTCCCATTGATAAAAGTAGTTGTTTTGTTCTTCTAACTTTGCTTATCAATTTCATTTTAAAGTTCACAGTAAACGGAATGATTAGATATCTTGAGTGGATATCCTCAATGCAAAATGAAATATCAGTTTGCATACTAATTCTCTCTTCCTTAATATCTTGTTCATGATCTTGCTTTCTGATTTGGACTAACTTTCTCTTTCAGTTCTTCACAAATATCTATTTTCCCATTGCATTTTGTTTATCCTTTATAATCAGACAAAGATTTTGCAAACAGTTATCTGTATTTCTGTCTGCTCCTTCCCGTCTCTCTCTCTCTCTCTCTCTCTCTCTCTCTCTCTCTCTCTCTCTCTATGTCTCCCCCTCTTCTTCTCTCTTGCTTCTTTTTTAAATGCCCATATTTATCTTTTTTTGATTTCTTCCTTTCACCACAAATCTGTATATCTCTGTTAGGGAAACATCCATCAGATTCTCGAATTATTTCACCAAAGAGTATATCCCTCCCTTTCTTTACATTTCTCTTCCTTCTACTATTCATTATATCAGTCTCTCCCTGTCTCCTCTTTTCTCTTCTTCTCTCTCACGTCATTCTCATATTCCCTTTTTTGTCTCTATCTCATTTCATGCATCCTATGCATACTCAATTTCTTTCTTTTTCTTTGCTTGACCCTCCTTCTTCTAATCTTCACTAATGCACATTGGTCCTTACCCCCAACCCCCCACGCTCCTCCACTCTTCCTCTTTCCCCCATGTTCTGCTTTCCGTTTCCTCTTCCGCCTCGATCGAATCCCCCTCACGTAATCTCACTTATCTCCTCTCATTGACTTATCTTGTTCCCTTCTGACAGGGTGCACGCTTTTGGTGTCGGGGAGAACTCATCACGGCGTCTCATCCGAGGCATCGCGTCAGCGGGTAGAGGGCGGGCGGAGTTTATCGCCACAGGGGAACGCATGCAGAGTAAGGTAGGTTACACCATTCACCGTCAACATCCAGTATTAAAGGGCCATGTACAGCATTGATGATTCGAAAGTCACAACAACATGAGAGCATGATATGATCGTATTCCTCTCATAGATATAGCTTTTGGAATTGGGGTGGGGTTGGGGGGGGGGGGGGCTTGAATGATAATAATAGAATTAAATGTTAAAAAGTAAATATCAAATATTAAAGGCCATGTACAGTATTAATGGGATTCTTTACAATATGGGAATGCTAGTGTGTGTTCATCATATTCATCTCATAGACAATTATTTAGATCTCAGGGGAGGGGGGGGGGGCAATTGAATTAAAAGTGCAATAAAAGGGGCAAAATAAGGGGCAAGAGGCAAACACCCTTTCCTCATTTATTGACCTTGTTCTCTTGCATTTCATCCCCTTTAATAATAGTGCCCCTCCCCTTCTCCATTCCCCCTCACACAAACACACAAAGGTAGGACCCACATGCTGAAATCCAATTATCTGTTTATAGCAAAAATTTGATAATAAACTTATTTATTTAATACTGCAAAATATTTGAAGTCTCTGTGCACTTTACAAGTATGATAATTAAAAAGTTTATTGATCTTCTATAAAAGAATCATATACTAACATGAGTTACAAAAATAGAAAGAAACCAAAGATTATATAGATGTAAGGACAGCAATATATTATACCAGCTCTGCTATATTTCATTCATAATGTGCACTGCAAATGAAATTCCTTCATGAAGAAAAAAATGATAACTTTACAGCAATTTTGAATAGAAATGTTCTTGCCCTACCCCTTCCTCCAATAAAATCAGATATTATGCATCTTTAACTGATATGACACATATTTCATAAATATGTGTGAAATGACCTCTTGTGGAATTCAATTCAATGACATGTTTGTATTTTGATCACTTACGTACATGCCTCAGCTGTTGCTAGTATCATATATACGTATATTCCCAGGACAATGCTGTCGGATAAAGCTGTTGTTTGTTTGATGATTTTACTTGTTTGTAATGATATGTACCCGCTGTCTATTTTAAAATTGTAGTACTTCGTTATTTTTATTATGTAATCACAGACACATGCACAGCCCAATTGAGGTAACTTTCTCTTTATAAGTCAACATGCCTTCCTATACTTAATTCTCTCCTCATTTTTTCTTTTCTTCTCTCTGTTCCATTTACTATTTTTTTTCTTTCCTATCATTTTTCTGTTACTGTATATAAAATGTAATTTTCATAATAATATCTATAATGTTCTTTCGGTAACTATGTTAATTTATTATGGGCGTTCCCCACTCAAGCTATGCTTTACGAGTTTTCGCCTCCTTCCGTATCTGAATTATTTACTGTATACTCTATGTTGAAATAATTGTTACATATATCATTTATATATACATTGTGTTTCATATTGTACTGTTGAGAAGGAAATAAATGTTAATAAATACAAATACAAATAAAAGAATACATGGTCAAAATGATGATGTTTATAAACTTACATATCATTTGTTTGGAGCCAGAAGGACATTACCTCATATATATATAAAAACTGATTTAATTCCCTTCCTGCTCTCAACTGACATATTATTTAAATGAAGAAAACAAATGTAATAAAAAATTTGTCAGATTCTTTGGAATTCAATCAAAAGGTCAATTGGATGATAACTAATGCAAAATAACCCCACCACATTCAGCTCTCCCCGGCGGCGATGTACAATCTAAAAATATCCACTTTCTTCAATAATAAGATATCAACAGGCTGATATATTTTGTTCATTCTGATCTCAACTCTGCCTCTGGAATGTCCTTGTAAGTTATATTGCAGATATACCCTACTCCACTGTCAATACGATAAACTAACTAAATTCCTTACTTTATCACTTGGCCAAATACTATACCTATAGCTCTATTCCTTACCAACCTACATGTAACCAAAACAAAATAAATTGCAACCCTAACCCTAATCCTAAACTTCTCTGATAAAATAAGGCCCAGAGTTAATGTCAGAGCACTGGCAGAAAGACAGTAACTAATCTGCTTCTTTGCTTGCCTACATTTAGCCCTATACTGCCTTAATTGCCAACAGTGATGGTTTATAACTTACCTATTTATATCCTTATCCATTGGATACAAAACTGTAACAAAATGTTGAATCATAACAAGACGTTCTGTTTGTTCTCTTTTGCTGTCCATATACTTGGCAGCCATTGATTGTCTCTATAAGTTAAGCCATTCACCATAAGTTTAAAAAACAAGGTTGTGAAAAAAAAGAGTAATACAATTTCTTTGGATACATTACATATAGCTAGGTAAATTAAATTTTCCATTAGGTTTTCCCCAAGAGAGAATTGCAAATTCCAATCACTTGAGACATTCCTTTATTTCAAAAATAGTAAATTGAATTCAATGGGATTGGTTCTAGTATGGATTTTTGTGAATGCTTCTTGGAAATAGAGTTCTTAAAAAAAAAAAGAATAAGCGGTTGAAATCAAATTGGCACAACCTCTATTTTTTTTGTAGGTCAATTGTCTTTTTTAAAGTTGTCTTGTGGCCTACATTTTACTTTAATATAATATCAAATAAATTTGAACAAGAAATTTCATATGATGATTAATTCAATATAAATTACCCAAATCTCTTTACTTATATTATCTGCACATAAATGCACACGAAAGAAAGAATTCATGTCATTAATACTGAAGCATCACTCTTTAAAAAAAAAAATACTTCAAACAAGATCAAAATGAATGAATTGCTTTATGAAAAATACATTTCTTTCCTTCAGAACCTTTGGCAATATCTGTATCCAATGCAATCACAGTCAGAGTTGTACATTTTGTAATTGGTGATGTCCAGTGGCATACCCAGAAATTGATAAACAGGGGGGGGGGGGGGGAGATCCTCCCAGATCAAAGGGGTAGAGTAAGAGTTGGTTGTAATATCTAGTTAACCTCTTGTACATAGACCCACTATAAAATTCATTTTCTTTTTTCCCCGGGCAGATAAAAAGAGGTGGGTATTTATTTCACCAGGTCCATGTATATGATACTGGATACGCCACTATTTTTCTCAGTTTGGCTTCTAAAAATGTGAATGTTATGGTGAGAAATGATCCCTTTGTGGATATCACTAATGGATTCCCTTTCTTAGTTCCGTAGGCAACGTCACTACTTTGCAAAACGACCTTGCCCAAATCATTCTGCCTCGGAGAGGAGAAATATATTTCTACAAACACAAAATTATAGGAGAGAAACAAAAATATAACTCCAGCTGAGGGTTGACCAAAAAACGAGGATGAAAACATGTTTAAAGACGACATAGAATTTGTTACATGTAGCTAGACATAGCGCCCAAGGCATCGATTATCATTCATCTCATCGCAAAATGGATTGCTGTCTGTGTTTCCTGGAAACCCAGCATCAGAAAACAAGGAATATAAGCTGTTTTCAGAAGCATCAAGATTACCCATAATGTGTTTTTTGACAAGTGTTTGGCTGCTACCTGTTTTTGAGACGATGGATTATGTTGGCTTTTGTAGATCGAGAGCTGGATAAGTAGCTCCAGTAATATTAACTTTGGTTGATAATCACTTTTTCTCGTTATTTTGATATCCCTTAATTTTCTTTTAAATACATGTACACAGTGACCTAATTTTCATGGTCTTTATAGATTTGCAACCTTTTTTAGTTCAATTCTATCCTGGTTTCTTCTCGCTATATTCTTAGTTACGTTTACAATTTTCTAATCTTTTTACATTCGTATCCTGGTTTCTCTTACCTGTCGGCTCACAATTATTATCATCAGTTTCTAGCTTTTACACATTTCCTCCTTGTTCCAATGAAGTATAAATCTTTGGCAGGATTTTTAATTTATTTTAGGGATATAAAAAACTGACTATTTCAAGCGGAACAAAACAAAACAAAAAGCAATTATGTTTCACTGCCAAAATGACCCTGAATTGTGATAATGGTGTTTTTAAAGGGTATAACCAATACCCAGTATTACTTTTTATATCCCAAATCACTCGGTTGAGAGGCAGAAGGGCATTCAATCTAAGGTGAAAGATATGAGTTAATGGCCTTCTGGCTCTCAGTAGATGTGGGTTGAGGGGTCTTGGGAGATACTCGTGAAAAAGGTCGTGAAATGCTGTCAAACTCAAAAGTTATCAGAACCCCAAATCTGAAACAAATTACAGGTAATGGAAAATAGCGCCAAGGGCAAATTTAATTTTGAGTAGTACATGACAACATCTTTACTTTGATTACATCTTTTTATTCTGAAATCTGATTTTCTAATTTAGCTACTCCTCCAGCAGTTATTTATATTAAGAAAGTATAAACAAGGGCATGTTGTTTTACCCCTGTGAAATAACAGACATCGACAAACATCCTAAATGCCATCCCATTTTTTTTTATATGCTATACAATAGAATTCCCATTTCTAAAAAAAAATGCATTTACCAATAACTTTGTGGTTTCCCGGGCATCGTGAGTGATTATCATCGGCCATCCATTTTGTCCTTCTCTTGTTATTTTGTCATTTTCCTTGAAAACTGCATGTTCGAGATGAAATTCTAGAAGGTGGTTAAAAATAACCTAATTGTGGTTTTTGTATGAGAGCTAGTGTTGAGCGTGATTGATATTCCACTTGAGATTGGAGAAAATCAAACATTTCTGACTTTAAAACAAAAAGTTTGAGCAATTCCATCTCTGCTGAGATATTAACACATGCATGAACGAGAGATTATTCTTTGTATTGATATCAACTTCTTTGACAAAAAGAAGTATAAAAATTGATATTATGCTAATAGATTTTAAAGTTGATCTGCATCTTAGAATTGAAATGAACAACAGTTCAACAATGTTATAAATATTTTGACCACCACTTTTTTGTTGATATAAGTCAAGGGAAATGGTCATCAAGAGGGCCACAAAGATTATAAAAACTGAATTCAGATCAGCAATGATTTTTTCTTTCACTCTCTTGTTTATCAATCTGATATCACTATATTTAATATTAAAAGGATTATATAAAGAAGTTCATAATATAGCAAAATTTAGCACAAACCAGTCTGAACATGACTTTTTTTGTTTGCATTTTGCTCACTTTGTGTTGCTAACTTACAGGTATAGGCCAGATTTGGAAACGCCCCCCTCTCTCAAAAAAAAAATGGAAGCTTTTATTACCAATCATGTTTTGACTAATACGTGATGATACAAATTTTGCCAGGAAACCGCCTACCAATTGATATATTTGGTAAATTATCATATTGATCTGGCCTGGAGAGATATCGCAAATGCTCTTAAACATTGAACATTTTGGCATATATTTCTGCTTTTTTGCAAATTTAGGTTAAAGTATTGCCATCTAAACCTCTGAAGGCAATATTTAAACAATATTGAATGGATATTTTGCATCCAAAACCCTTGAACTGCAATTTTACAAAAACTGGTCTATACTTTTAAGGATTCAACCCTTACATCTCCCTTTTCTTGAATGTATATCTTATACAGCATACCACTTGTTGTACCAGGCCTATGTTGTCCAGCGATAAAAGTGTGCTGATCTAATTCAGTGACATTTGCTCTCTCTGCTCATGCATGCAAGCATAATAATTAATACTTAATTCTGTATGCGCTGTACAATCTACATCAAAATATATATAAGAGGACAAATAACCCCACTACATGCACACCGACACATCAAATCAACAATTGTCACACTACTGTAAGAAAAGGTTTATGACCTCGCACTATCTATTTTGTTAGAGGATGAACCTTCATTTTGATATTCTTATCTCTGACGAACATGCCCGCCCAATGCTTTACAATGATTATACACGCACTAGCTCTTTCTTGAAAGTTTTCCTTATCTCATGCGAATGCCCGATGGACTTGTGTCTAACTTGTCATTAGTAACAAGTCAGGCACCTTGGAGGAACAGATAGCTTTTCATTAGCAGGCTAGGCTTCCCGGTATCTCTATTCCCAGAGCAATTGATTTTAGCGCGGTAAAGTGATGCTTGACATTATGGATTCAGAGAGCCGAGTTGCCGAGCGAGCAAGATGCATGGAGAGTCTATTATTCTTGCCGTTTCAAGATAAATGCAACCCTTGATGAATTCAAACCTTTGTCAATACAGTGGCAGCGTTAGCATCTCTTTCACCTTTTGTTGGGCATTTATTTGTATGATCGTGCCTTTAAACCTTGATGTTCCATCGAGTGTTAAAAAAAAACTCACGTCCTCAAATATTACTTGGCAAGACAAGTTTATAAATCAGAGTGCCGTTTCCCGTTCATAATTTTTGACAATACTTCTTTCTATGATATCTGCTTTCATAATTCTGGAACCCTTTTTTATATCTTGGAGAATAAAAACCTCCTCTGTATTTTCATCTCTCCAGGTGATGGCTTGAACTTCCCACCAAAGATTTCTTAGCCCAACATGATTGATGCGACTCCCCCCCCCCTCCCTCATCTCCCCTCCCCTCCTTCCCACCCCCCTCCTTCCCACCAAACCCTCAGGATTTTACTCTGCATTCATGGAGAAAGAATTTCTTTTGACCAATTTGTTAACAAGATACCTTTAAATTGTAGATGAACGCTTTCCAGTTCATTTTCAACCAGCCTGTTCTAGTTATTGACATTATCGGGAGAGGATGCTGACAAAAACTTAATCATACTTGGAAATGCTAAATTTGTGATGCATTTATATTTTTCACAAACTGACAAGGTGTATCCATGTCCTTAGGGTTTTCCAATTTTCTTGATGATAACAACATCAGGTGACATAGGTAATATGAGTGGGGACACCTAATTTGAGGACAGCCACAGCATGATAACACCTTTGATCTTATAGGATCATGATGTAAGGTGTGCTCGTTTCAAATGGGTTCAAATGAGGGAGCAGGTGTAATAAAAATGAAAAGAAATTTGGAGCATTGTTTATTCCCTTTTTAATTAGACATTTTCAGAGAAAGTCATATGCGGATAGAAAGGCTTTCAGATAGAGAGTTTAAAGGGAGAGAAAGGAGAGAAAAGGAGAGGGAGTGAGAAATAGATAGAGAGACAGAGACAGAGAGACAGACAGGAACAGAGAGACAGACCAAGAAAGCCACAGAGAGAAAGAAAAGAAAGTGAAAAAAAAGAGGGGACGGGGGGGGGGGGGGGGGGGGGCAGATGGATTCAGAGAGAGGAAAGACCAAGCAGATATATAATGGTCAATTCATCTGTTGTATTTTTAATATTTGCCTAACATTTCTGCTTTTCTCTTCTTCCATTTCTAAGTGCATGTACATAGTCTTCATATTTAGTCATTGCTACCAATATAGGTGTGAAATGTACTATATTCACTTAATGCAAACTCTCTCTCTCTGACTATCTCCCACTCTGCCACTTTGACAGGTGATGACCGTTGTCCGTCATGCTCTCCAACCCACCATCAGTGACATCACCGCAGAATGGATCTTACCAGCCGGCATGGAGCTCATCCAAGCCCCCATCAACCACCACCATGCCCCTATCAGTAGGGGTGAACCCATCGTGATATACGCCCTCCTCTGCGACACCGCCCGGTTACAGAGCACCCTGGCGTCAGTGCTGCTCCGAGGTGACTCCATCAAGAGGACCAACCCGTTCCTGGATCACACCCTGTCCAGGGGGTCAAGCAGTGAGAGGACGGAGGAGAGTGTCTCAGCTGGGACCAATAATACAGGATCACCTCTCAAGACTGCTAGGCAGAATAGGGACAGGGGTAAGGAAACAAAAATAAGATATATCCAAAAATGATCATTAGATTCCATTTCTCCCAAGTTTTTCCTCATGACTGTGTATAAACACCCCCTTTTTCTATGACAGAGATCTATTCCTCTATCAGCAACAACAAAAAAGCATATTTTTCACAATTTTTAGTACCCCCAAAACTTCCCGACCCCACCCCCTTGACAAAATAATGGAGCAATGCTTGCAAGGGAGGTCCATGAGAGTTGCGCAATCGTGCTTGATGGATTACCACTAGACAAAATTATAACTTTTTAAATCATTAATTGAATCCTTCACTTTGATTGACCTGTTATCTCATTCTGGCTTTTATTGAAAACGACTCAAAGTCAGGGAGTAGGACTTCCCTTTTAACAATCAATATTTAGTCTCTAACTTCATTCATATCTACTAAAGATAGCATTATAACATACAATGGAAAATAATTACTTTTTCAACCTACTTGACTCTTCCTTATATGAAATAAGGATGCACATGGATGATATGCAATATATATCTAAGGGAATTGGTAACATTGTTCAGATGAGAGAAAATGGTGCTAAGGTAGTGAATTCAATGCTAGATGTACAGTTAAATATAATCTGAAAGTTTGAGTGAAATTGAAAACAGACTATTATTAATGAAACATATTGGGGAAAACTGATCTGATCGATTCCTTAATTCTCCCAACCATATTCTATCAATCTAATTACACTTTAGGTGAATGAAATTGTCACAAAGCAATGAAGTGATTCTTTATACCATTCCAGACAGTTAAGTGTTGACATTTTTAAAAGCCTTTTTTATGTCTTATTTTCATGGAAATACGGTTGGGAAATTTCAGAAATGGATGGGAGAATTTACTGTTAGAGGGTGTTGCACGGTGACGCCTTCAAAGAAAACCATAAATGTCTTTGTGGTTTGAGAATTTGTTCAGGATTTTGTCCATGTTAGAGGGTTATTGGAGAATGTGCCTTCAGTCCTGAAAAGTGCTATATAAGAACTAGCTATTATTATTATTTAGTACAGTAGAAGGAATATAATAAGTAATTACATTTCATACAAAAATTAAGCAGGTATTTTCACAGACCTTCAACAATGTTACCAAGTCACTTAGTGACTTGAATTCTCTTTTGACTTTCCAGAGCCACCACTCCCCCTCAAACTACAGAACCTACCCCAGAAGTGCCAGTCCAACGGTCTACTCTGCGGCTGTCCTGATGTAGGAGATGCCTGTGAAGTTCACTCACATCCAGAAAGCAACAACTCTACAACTGACCCGGTATGTACATGTATATTGAGATATGAGGGTTGTTGATATGGCTATAAAAGCTCCTTGCAAGATGTTACTTTGTTAGGAGTTTTTATTCCAAAACAATTGTATTTTATAAAAACAACATGCTCCCTTAGTCTACTCTTATCCCAAATGTTAGGCTTACTTTGACTCATTGGGTCGGGTGGTCGCATTACCTGACCTTTATTCACAAAATGTTGGGGGTAATGTCTGTAAAATAAAACATCTCATCTGAAAATGGTATGGTCCAATTTACCCAACACTTTGTGAAAACCCTACAGCAAATCTAAAAACAGTCGCATCCTTATCGCGCATCTTCACATCATCTACCTTTCTCATTTTACGAGAGGTCGTGTAACGTGACCACTCGACTGGAAACGCCGACCCAATGATTTGAGTTCATCCCAAATGGCAAGGAAGCCTTGAGAGCTTTGTAATGTCAATGACCGTATTGGCCTTTTTGCGGGCAGCCAACATAACATTTTCCCTAATCTTCACTTTATTAATTCTTCCCTTCTATATATCATTTCCTTCTCTCCCTCATTAAACAGTGACAAATTTCCCTGTATTTTCATTCTATACAGGCTCAACAGCGAGTACAAGAGCTCTCCACATCGAGACGAACGAGGGCAGTATCAATGCCAGATAATTCATTAGCTGCAGACCCGACGTCCTTACAAAGATTACTCAATACATTAGATGCTGCAGACAGGAGGTAATGCAGGTTTCTTTCCTTTCTTTTCCTTATCTCTAGAGAATATCTATTCCTAACCCTCATCACAGTCATTCACGCATCACGTTTATGAGATAACTTGAATTGTTTTGGCAAATTATCTTTTCTTTGAGAACCAGACGGTATTAACTCCATGTAAACGTGTATGAGTTAACATCCTTTATTGCCTCTTAATAGGTGATATATTTTAATTGAGAGCCAGAAAGGCAGTTATCCTTCCATGAAAATTATATGGAATAATGTTTTTTTGGCTCTTAGCAGATGGTGTATCAATTTTTGAGAGTAAGAAGGTATTTCTTTTGGTTAAATGATATAAATGGCCTTGTGACCGTCTCAGCATAGGATGTAGAGTATAGACCATTTCGTAGTTAGCACATGGGTCAAATGACCGCAAATATCCACAGATCTTTTACTCATGGAGAAGTCCCACTTTGTGTATTTTAGAATAATCAATGCCAAAGTCATGTACATGTATGTGCTTCATGAAAAGCTTTTGTTTGCCTTCTTGTATTATAATAATGTACCATAGGTGCACACATGAATAATGATTACATAACATGAGCACGTATTCCTGTCGGTGGGTTTTACAATTTTATCAGAAATGACCTTTATCGATCTGCCCATGCGCAGATAGTATTTACGAAAAGGCTTATTCTCTCTTGAGAGCTATAAAGACATTAATCTTTTGTTAAGTGATCAATATGAAATAATGGCTTAAGGCCCTCAGCAGACTATACAAACCTGTTGATAACAATAATAATACTACCAATAAAATGGTCCTTATAAAGTGCTTTCCACTGAAGTCTCTGAGCGCTATAACAAACAAAATACAATGACAAGCAATTATATTTTAAAGACACTAAATAACCCTTTTTGAAATGATATGAATTAATGACCTTCTGGCTCTAAGCCGACAGGCAAATTTTGAATGCAGCCTCAATGCCATATGGCTCATTATATTTAGAACCTATTTCCCTAGCGAGGCTTTCTCCCTTCTCAAGGTAAATTTAATATTCCATTATTACTGTCTATTTGCATCAAGGGAGTTGCCTATATACATGTATATCCAGCACACATTTGTTACAATTCTAATTAGCTGTAAACCCAATCTCTCTCAAGAGATTTATACTATAATGAGAATAGATTGTAGCCTTCTGTTTATTTTATTTTCATTAACACTGAGTTGTATTAAAAAATTGTTATCAGATATTTTAGCTCTGGACAGAGGAAGGCAAGAATCTGCATTCCCCTTGCTCAGACGTACAATAATTGCACCTAATTGTTACCCTTGATAAAGCTTATCTCATATAAAGTTTCTTTTAGAGTCTATAGGCTTTTTATTGAGTCAAACAAAACATTTTACAAATCAATGAAATGAAGTCTTTCTTTAACTCAAATGAAAAAAAATACTCTTAACATTTTCTCCTTGTTGTTCATAGAAACAAATGTTGAAGTGACTGCCATTTAGTAACAAATTTGTTATACATACTAGATATAGAATGAATATATTTCTTGTCATCATAATATTGAACAATTTTTTTCTTCAAAGAACTAAAATTTTGAATTTTGTTATTAAGGTTTTGTACGAATAGCTGATGCTTAATCAAAGTCACCATGCAATTCAAAGCATCCTTTTTTTTTGTCTTCAAAACCAAAAATTACATTTTCTAAATTAAACTCTATCTGTACTCGAGAACCTTCAGAGTCTACAAATGTTTAAATAACTTTGCAACATATCATCCATGCATTCTTTTGAACACACCAACCTGATCACACTATCAACTCCATTCTTCCAATTATCCTACACTACTCCGATTACCACATGGCAACTCAGAATCGGGGGAGTGTATAGTTTCTCTTATTTTGGCTTCAAAGTATGGATCACCCTCCCTTCATTTTTTGCTCTCCCACTTTGATCGACTATTTTAAGAAGAACTTAAATATGCAAATTTTCAGTAGATGAATGTTCATTTCTATAATTTTCTTTTCCTTATTTTATTGTTCATCATGAGCATGTATGTATGTCAAGATCCATAAATATACCCATGCTTCTGAAACTGGATGCGGAAGCAATGTCTGATCTCCTTAATCTCCTAATTAAGATTGATAAAACAGTAGACATTGTTTATTAATGATTCATTTGATCTTGTTATTTCTTCTTTTATCTCATCCTCTTCACTTTGGGGGAGTTGTCAATTCATTGATTACTTTTCATTATAGAGAAGAAGTATAATTTTTCAATCATAAAGTTTGATAAATTCAAAGTAATTTGGGGAAGATAGCAAAGGAGGAGAATTTGTTTTAATGTTTTGAACAACCTTGTTCAGCAGATACTTCTCAGCTGAAATATTTGTGTATTTCAATGGAAAATCAATAATATATTTTGATTGATTTTTAAAAAGAAATCTAGTGCAAAGCTTTTTTTAATTCATTAACTCCCCGCGCAAGTAAGTTCATAGACAGGTGGATATTTAAGAGTAAATACCAGTTTTAATGTTTTGAACAACCTTGTTCAGCAGAAATAGTGTATTTTGATGAAAAATCAATAATATTTTTCATTGATTTTTGAAAAGAAATCTAGTGCAAAGCTTTTTTTAATTCCTTAACTCCCTGCGCAAGTAAGTTCATAGACAGGTGGATATTTAAGAGTAAATACCAGTTTTAATGTTTTGAACAACCTTGTTCAGCAGAAATATTGTATTTTGATGAAAAATCAATAATATTTTTCATTGATTTTTGAAAAGAAATCTAGTGCAAAGCTTTTTTTAATTCCTTAACTCCCTGCGCAAGTAAGTTCATAGACAGGTGGATATTTAAGAGTAAATACCAGTTTTAATGTTTTGAACAACCTTGTTCAGCAGAAATATTGTATTTTGATGAAAAATCAATAATATTTTTTAATTGATTTTTGAAAAGAAATCTAGTGCAAAGCTTTTTTTAATTCCTTAACTCCCTGCGCAAGTAAGTTCATAGACAGGTGGATATTTAAGAGTTAATACCAGTTTTAATGATTTCATTCCATTGCGAAAATTGGGTATAAGAAGTCAAATAGGAAATTACTTCACCTTCCTAAATGTACCTCTTATTATAGTCTATTGTGATTGAAGTTGTTATATAATATATTGTGATTCAAGTTGTTATATAATCATATTGCAGAAATATAGAAAATAAGACATATATTGATTGCTCATCCAATCTCGTAATTCCTGTTTTCCTGTAATTGACAGACAATCTGAAAGTCACCTGAATGGAAGGAGACGTCACCTAAGTGGTCAGCGTCATGACCGCTCTCACCTCAACAGCTTTGACTTTGAACCAGCCAGCCCTGCCTGGGATGACTACATCGATGCCGAAGGGGAAGAACTCTTTGATGCGGACGTCCAGATGTCTCTGAGCAACGCCGTCTTGATGGATGACGGCGAGCTAATCAACATCGCTAATCGGTCTGGGCAGGGGTGTGTCATCGTGACGGGGCTGTTCTGCGGTCGTCCCATACGGTGTGAGGTGCCCTTTGATATTACAACCTTGGTGTCTGGGGAGTGGAGGGGGCCGACGGAGGATGATGATGCTTGGGAAGAGACGATACATCAGCTAGCTGCTGGATGCCTGCTCATGGACTATGATATACAGAGCATGGGATACCTCATGGATGATGGTAAACTTCTTAGTATAATTTCAAAAAGATTTATTTCAAGTACTTCAAAACCATGAGTAGATTATTTGATTTGATTTTCTTCTGCATTCATGTAAGTATACAGTTTTTCGACAACAGTAATAATATGAAGTACAATAAGTATTTTTCTGGCAATGAATCATAAATAAGCAAGCTTATATATATAAAATATATCAAATTAGCAAGCTTCATAAAATTGTGTGAAAAGCAGATCCTTACAAATTAAGAAAATGACCTGGGATAGATTTGGAATGAACTGAAAAATTTCCCGTGACTATTATTGCTCTAATCGATTGAAGTCCCATCATTTGACCAACTCCAATATGACCAGCAACCAACAGAATCTTAGCCATCCATTCAGATTAATGTAATTCTTTATCTGGTCTTTTGTTGATCTGTTTTTTATCTCATCAGTATGACTTGGGGCTCAATTTGTTCATACCATTCTCCTTAATTCCTCCCTAGTTCATCAACCATCGACAGATGACATCTTCAAGCTTCGAAGCAAGATGGTGGATCTGAGCCAAGCAAGTCATGTGATTTGTCGTCACACAGCCTTCGTCTCCCTAGATTTGGAGACCCTAGAACCCCTGCCATCACCAGTAGTTGTGAGTTCATTGGGCTACTTCTTTAAAGGGAGTGTGTCATGACGAGACTATGTGTCTTTCCCCTGGCCCTACCCAGGGCCAATCGGGTATAGGACTACGGACGACACAACCGCAGCATTCGCGTGCGTGCAACATATGCGAAACCGAAGCGTGAGGAGAACTTTGGTCTGTTTCGCCAATGCTAGCGCGCACTGACCCAGGTTAGCGCACGCTGACCCAGTTAATCAAGTCCATTCGTTTACGTGCAGTTGTCCAAAAGAAGACGTAGATGGCTTCAACCAGTAATTCCCATGATACACTCCCTTTAAGATAATCTGCCTCCTTCAATACTGAAGATTCTTGCAGATGCCGTATATACTCGGTCTGATTGGGGTGTGCAGGTGGACCACTACACCAGGGTTTTCCCCCTACTCTTATACGAATAGTGCAATGGGTTCTTAACATGCAAGGGTGGTGACTCTCCTGTACACGGGGCCTCCATTTAACTTCCTATATCCGAGGGACATCGTAGCTTAATAATTGGAATGAAATGTCTCATTCATTTCTTGGGATATAAAGTTACCAGGTATATCTTTAAATCTTTTCAGGCAATTGGTCCCCTTGAATCTGAGGGCCATATGAATCACACATGAGTTAATTGGGGGTTTGTGGGGTAGTGATCGAATGCCCAGTTGATCAAAGAGGGTAACAGAACTGCATGACAACAGAGCGCTGGTTTGGGTCATGAATTGGGTCAAAAAGTTAAGGAATAACTGTGCTACATGTGTGATGGTGCCAATTAAGACACATTTCTATGTCAAAGTATACAATATATTATGTATGTAAACTTATTTTGATTCGTTGTACGTTTGTAAAATGTGAGTCAAACAAATTTCCAATATTTGACAATAAATTGAAATTGAAATTGAAGTTATGTTGTGAAACAGGTTTCAGACTTCACAAAAATAATAAATTATTGACTATATGGGCTGTTTTCTGAAAACTACCGCTATATATGCATTTTCCAGAATAAATGAGAAAAAATATCATTTGAAAATTAGATCAAATTGAATTAGAGGATAGTTCTTGCATGTAGATGTCTGTCAACAGCTGTATAAGCACCTAGTCAATTTTCTGTGCAATTTAAATTTTTCACAAGACACAAAAGAGCTCACTCTATTGTTAAAAATATACTGGCTTTCAGAATAACACTGCTCATGACCATTATTATAGGGATTTCTTTGTTTTAAAGATAGAGTAGCCATTAACAACAAGCCCCTTGACTTTGTATTCTGTTTGCAATGATGTCTGCCTTTCAGATCATGCCTAGCCAACCCAAGGCGGCGCATCCATTCCAGCGACGAGCTGCTCGTTTCTGGGGCTACAACGTGATGGGCAAACAGTATTCATCATCATTCACCGATTCAGAAGACGAGGCCTTCTCCTCTGGATATGGTTAGAATAATTTCTATATTACTAGATTAATCATGACCACTGAGTACTCCAACTTACAATGCAAGGGGGAGGGGAGGTTGCAATGAGGAAAGGGCAACAAATGCCATTAATGATAGCTTGTGTTAAATTAACCACAATCCCCTTTTATCATGATAACAAAATTAGTGTACATACATGTGTTATTCATTTAGTTCATTCTTTCACCTTCCTATTTCTCTTGGTTTAACAATATATTTATTTCTAGCTTTACCACTAGTGAGTTCCGTATTGTAAATGTATTCTTCTTCAACATTTTCTCATTTATGTTGTTCTCTTGATGTTAACCTTTTTGATCTTCAGAAAATTACTTCAACCTAAATCTAAAGAAAATAAATTTGATCTTAGTAATGTCATAGATCAGTTTTATGGATGCAAGAGTTGCATTCAGACTGTTTATGACATGCTAGATACATAGAGAGAGAGAGAGAGAGAGAGTTAGAGAAAGAGTTTGAGAAAGAAAGTTAGAGAGAAAGAGAGAGTTAGAGAAGGAGAGGGAGAGAGAGAGGGAGAGAGAGAGAGAGAGAGAGAGAGAGAGATCAGAGGGGGTAGTAAGTGAGTGTAGAGATGAATGGACTGAGAAAACAAGAGGATAAAAGGAAGAAGTCCTGTAACTTTCTCGTCATAGATGTACATGATGTCAACAAAAAAAAAACTTTTTTTAGTTCAGTTAAAAATTTAATGAGGTACATTATTAACGAAAACATATTTTAAATCATTATGGCAAAAGTTCAAAAGCACTTCCTCCAGTCATTTTAAGTTGCAACCAATTTGTTTTTCAATCAAATTGCACCATGCAGCACTGTTAAATATAATCATAAATCTCCATAATATCTGTATTACCAACAAAACACAAAGATCTGAAACCCTTGTTAACTGGGTAGCATGAGCTTTTTGATGTTTTATATACTCACATGTTGTATTATTTCTCTGCTTTTCTTTTGACCATACCGAACTCCGATCCACCCGTTATCTTTGATCCCTTTCTTTGAATTTTGTTAAATTGTAACCTCTTCCATGCGTTTCCTGTCCATAACTCATAACCTAAAATTTGTGTTTTACATGTAATTGTTTTGTTTTGTCTGCCAATCAATCGCTTTTTCCTCATACCTTGCTTATTCTATCGTACCAACATCGTTTTGATTATTCTGATATCTAAACAACCACTTTTGTAAAAAAAAAACGTCTCCTCCAAAATCACTGTCCATGAAAATTGTCAATTTTACGATCTTCCTTTTTTGTGAGTATGTGTTCATCTGAATTCCCTTACTACCTCTTTGGCACTTTCTAAATTCTTGCTTTAATTGTCACCCTTTGTCCTCTACCATTGACCCTGTTCACTTCTCTCTACTTCATGTATGTATTCCCTCTGTACTTCTATCATCCCCGAACATATCAATACACCCTTTCACTTTCTTTAAACCCTTCTCTGTGCCCATCCTGCTTCCACTCACGTACCCTCCCACTCGCATCTGTTCACCCCTCTCCCATCCCCCACTCCACCCCTCTCCCACCCTCTCCCACCCCCACTCCTCCCCTCTACCACCCCCACTCCACCCCTCTCCCACCCCCACTCCACCCCTCTCCCACCCCCACCCCTCCCCTCTACCACCCCACTCCTCCCCTCTCCCACCCCTTCCCCCACTCCACCCCTCTCCCATCCCCCACTCCACCCCTCTCCCACCCCCACTCCTCCCCTCTACCACCCCCACTCCTCCCCTCTCCCACCCCCTCCCCCACTCCACCCCTCTCCCATCCCCCACTCCACCCCTCTCCCACCCCCACTCCTCCCCTCTCTCACCCCCCTCCCCCCACTCCACCCCTCTCCGAACCCCCACTCCACCCCTCTCCCAACCCCCACTCCACCCCTCTCCCATCCCCCACTCCTCCCCTCTCCCATCCCCCACTCCTCCCCTCTCCCATCCCCCACTCCTCCCCTCTACCACCCCCTCTCCCCCCTCTCCCAACCCCCACTCCACCCCTCTCCCAACCCCCACTCCACCCCTCTCCCAACCCCCACTCCACCCCTCTCCCAACCCCCACTCCTCCCCTCTCCCATCCCTCACTCCTCCCCTCTCCCATCCCCCACTCCTCCCCTCTACCACCCCCTCTCCCCACTCCACCCCTCTCCCAACCCCCACTCCACCCCTCTCCCAACACCCACTCCACCCCTCTCCATCCCCCACTCCAACCCTACTCCAACCCTATAGGGCGATCTGAGTCACCCAGTTCACTCCCCTCTCAACCGGTTCCTATGCCTGCAGGTCTGGATGGTCAATCCCTGGACCCCCCTGGACCTCCCGGGGGTCTAGGCCCCCATTCTCCGTGGTCCTCTCAGTGTAGTGGAGACTTCTATGCATGTAAGTCTCACAACTATTCTAGTTTCTGAATGATTGTTATAAACCATCTACTCTTACCACTTACATTGTTAATCCATTCATTTCTATTCACTTTGAATGATTATTAGACAATCACAATTCTACCGGTATAATATTCTTTAGAGGCATTCAAGAAATATGTAAGAGTAGTAGAACCGTCACTTCTGCAAACCAACAGTCCCCTTAATCATTAACGTCATGTATGGAGATATGACAACTTATAATCTATTTTTATCTTTGAAGAAATTTCTTTCCTGAAGAACATTTCCATAGGTCTTGTAAGTGTTCATTGTAATTGTAATGGATATGGTCTTTTCTTTAAAAAAAAAAATCCAACACTGATTTCAAAACTCTGTAAATGTGATGTTATCAAAACATTGTTATATCATCTCTACTTACATTCTTTTACCAGGGTCCTTTGAGAAACCATATGGGATAAATCCTGCTTCAAAGCCACGTTCCTGGCAGCTAGGTTCTCGTCTCAATCGACTACGATCAAGACTCAGCAACAGTCCATCAAAGCGCCCTCTATTCCGTGCAGTCGATGTGACGGAATTCTGTGTAGGAAGAACCCTCAGCATGGAATGTGTTGAACTGCATGCCTTAGTCAACCTTCAACTTGCCTCGGGGGCATGGGAGTTGGACTATGAGCTTGCGGAAGCCATCGACATCCCACTGGAAAAGTTAAGACGTGCCTGTCTGTTCTGCGATGTGCCTGTGAACTATGAAGCCATGATTCCGAACGCGATCAGTCCGCTGGCTGGACCACACTTGAGAACTTTTTACGCCGGTAGCTCCCAAGGAAGTAGTCTTCAGACACCAGATGTAGAGGCAAGCGTTGATAATTCGAAGTGGAGTGCCGAAGCCCCTGGCAATGAGGCATCAGCTGGTGTTAGTCCACCAGATAATGCAAGCATTATATCAGAGTCGTTGTCCCAGTCAGAGAGTGGGTACATCACTGTGAAGTCGACTTCTTCCCCAGAGGATTCCCACCCAGCCCGACCGGCCAATGGGAACGCACGCCAGGACTCCAACACGCTCAAAGCAGCCAATCGCAGGCCAGAATCTCTTGCGAGCGTTCGCTCACTTTCCCCAACTCCAGCCGGTGCTGCGGCCATGCGAGGCATCCCTCTACCAAAGAAACTGGACAGCGTGACGGCTGCCAATTTCAGCCCCAGTCGTAGGCGCCGCGAGAGATTCGCCGCCGTGCAGCAGCTTCGGAAAGAGATGCGCCATCTGTCGCCAGACGAGTCTCAGCAGCAGAGGCTGTGGGCCACAGCTTTAGCTCTAGTCTGGCTGGAACATAACTGTGCCTCATTCTTTAATGAATGGGAGCTACTGGCTGCTAAGGCAGACCATTGGCTCAGTGAGCAGCCAATACCAAGTGCCAGCGGGATAGATCTAGCAGAACTCAAAGCATCTGCAAGACAACTTATCGTTCTCTCAAGGAAATATTAGACACTGGCTGATTGAGCAAGGTATCCAAAGTGCCAGTATGTTAATGTCATATTAAATCCATCTTGAAGAAACTGTTTGGGTGGTATTCTCGAAAGCGGACTATACTTTAGTCCATGGTTTAATCCATCAACTAAGTATGAAATGCCAAGTGTCCTTATGAATATGTTTTTGAATAATTTAATCTGTCACTAAATTAAAATGAAATGTAATAACATAATTAATAAACAACAATATAACTATGATATAATTACTTTATCATGGTTATTTAGGGACATATCAAATTAATCAGAAATATATTCATATGGACACTTGGCATTCCATACTTAGTCGGTGAATTAAACCATGGACTAAAGTTAGTGCACTTTCGAGAATACCACCCTTTGTAGTTTGGTTGTGCCATTTAATGTATTCATAGTTTTCTTTGTATGAATTAGAGTATAGACTTAACTTAAAACATGTACAGATGTAGTGATATGATCAAATTTTACAACATATAGAAAAGTGTAGATTAATTTCTAGCATTATAAAGAGTGGTCAATTAACGGTAAGGTTTGTACATTTCTTGTTCTTTCTGTGTATGTATACATTAGAAGGGAAAGTGCAATTGCATTCAGTTGTGACTTACATTGTGCTATATACAAACTGTACATATATAATGAAGGGTATATACCCCTAATGGGAAGCATGTAATGAAGCATTCTCATGAAAGTATATTGGAACAAAATTTTGAACAGCATTTTACATTGTCAATCTTATTGTTGTTACAAAAATATCACTTTTGTTTTATGCATCTGATTTTTATGCAATGTTCATGTAGGGAAAAATATATTTTTGAATGGATAATTGCGATCTCAAAGATAAATTATGCTCTCTTTGAAAATCCATGTACCGGTACCTGTAGACCTGTTACAACAAGTAATCTTAAAAAAAATTGAGTTTGGTTTCGGGAAAGTGTAATTTTTAGTCAAGTTAACATTTGTTTAAAAGTGATAGCGACTTATGCTAATGCAATTATTTACTGACCAACATGATATTCTTTTGTGCAATGTAATTTCTTTGCTAGTGCAATACAGTTTATTTGTAAAAATGTATTATCAATTTCAAAGGGTTCATGCAATGTACATATCTAAACTCTCTTGTTAAAGGAAGAAAATGTGCAACTGAACACAGAAAAGAATGGCGAAAAATGCCTTTTCTAAATGTCTGCCTTTCACAAAATGTAAATATATCTTATAATTTAATTTTCATTGAACAATTTAACGTAGTTCTGTACAATATGCTTAGTTCAATGTTGAACATTGTTGGTACTTGTATAGTGACTGTACATTCTGTAGAAGATAAATGTCATCTTCTTGTGTACTTATCAGTATTTCATTTTAATCACTGTTTTCCGTCTATATTTTGTTTTCCTATTTTCATCTTTCACGTATCATGACATGGACCAAATTGTAAATATAAAAGAAGTTGGGAAAGCTTATAAGGAGGCAAGATGGAGCATGTGTATTAAACGGGATATAATTGTAAATTCTATGGAGAATTAAGAATTAAGATTGGATAGGCAAACAAATACCTGGGCCGGATTGTGACAAATTGATTGTAAAATACAGAACAATTGCATTGAGAGTATAACTTTGTGCTGATTCCTGCCTTTTCACTGGTTGCAACTTTCTACATTTTCCTCTGTTCAAACTCTCACATATGATAGTACAAATTAACTTTCCAACGGTTGTTTGGAATATTTCAATACTTCTAATTTTAGCATGAACAAAATCTGATCTTTAAATAGTCCAGTCTGGAGAGAGAAATTATTGTGCAAGTCAGGTGCTTTAAGCTCAGAAATCAGTGATTTACTTCTAATGCAAAAAAGAGATCAAAAGATGAATTATTTATTTTTATATTTGAACTTGTTCTTGAGATGATTATTTACTATTCAGGGAGTGGAAATGAATCGGATGAGTTCTAGAGATGGTTCGAGGGTGTGTTTGAAACAATCATCAAATTTTGATGCTTGTTTGTATTGTACATACTTCTGATACTCATTCCATTTTAAACCATAGTAGATATATATGTTCATATTGTTTTAGGAAGAAGTTGTAAAAAGTATCGCCATGGTCCTATGTGATGTAGCATTGTTATCATCCACTTATTTTGTGAGTGGTTCTACTACTTTTCACACCTACTATACATCATCTGTTTGCTGCCAAAAGGACGTTAATTGTGTTGAACAAAATTGCTTACCAGGTAATTCCCTTTTGGCTCCAAACAGATAACGTTTTTGACGTTTTAGAAACTCACATTTATAATTTTACTAATTGCCTGCCTACAGAAATTGATTGGTCCCTGTATTAAGCAAATGGGAATGAAATAATTCAGTAGTTAATGGCTTTAAGAGAACAACAACAACAAAATATATGTTAATGAACAGTAGCATACAACACAAGCCCTTATCAAGCAAAGGTAACAAAAATACTTACAATATCAATTGAAATAAATATACATATAAATAGAGATTAAGGGACTGTTTATCGTATTTATGAAGTAAAATCTTTAAAAAAATTCTCCCTCCCCGTAACAAGCAAGATAACAATGCTACATCAACGACGAGTAAGGTTCAGCTGATACAGAAAGTATAGTGTAGCATTCTAGTTTTTGTACAAATTTCACATGTTTTTGTTGTTGTTAAATGTATATTAGCGATGCATATAGCAAAGTATGAGTACAGCACTTTACTGGCACATTATTCATTGAATTCAAACATTCTATATGTTCTCAGTATATTACGTTTCATGTACAAGATGGGTTATATGATATATGTTCCTGTGATAATTGCTCAACTAGAAGTTCCTACACTAACCAAGTCCCTAGCTTAAATCCTAGGCCCAAAACAATACCTAACCCTAAACCTAACCAAAACCCAATAGCAACCCTAAACTTGGATGAAATGAAGCCAAAAGCAATTGTCACTGGAGCAAACGTCAGGTTACCCAAGATGTGTACACTATACATGTATATGTTCATTTTATTGTTATAGGTTAAAACCCATTTAGTACTGGATACAATTTATGCCTTTATGAATCAGCGGTCGGGATTGACTGAAGATAAAAGAACAAAACATGAACGTTTATCAATTTTCAGGAACAAAATTTTGAAAATAATGTTTAATTGTTTATCATGCTTTGCGAACAACATCTAGGAAATAAATGTAAGAACAAAACTTTGAATTGTGTATCAAATATCTTTTTGTAGTCACCAACCCCCTTCAGTCTTTCCTATCTATTCTTTTTATTCAAAACATTGGGTTTTAATATTCAGTTGTCCTTTTGGAGCAAAAAGGGTGTTAAGTCATCATTTAAAACAGAGTTAAAGCTCTTCTACATAAATAAGAATAATAATAGCCTAATAGTCCACTCCAAATTTTATTAAACCGAAACAGAAATTCTTTTTGCCCAATTGATCGTGAGCCCTGCAGCCACTGAGCAGCACCAGATCGACGTTGCTCTATCCCTTATTGTTGAACGCCAAACAAGGTAGCAACAACTCCCATCTTTTAACGTCTTTTGGTATGACATGTAGCTGCAAAGGGACACAATAATCTATTATCTTTTTCCACAATAAGGAATTTAAATGAAATAATTGGTATTTATATTAAAGGTACTATGTCCCATTTGCAGGCCCCAAAAATGAAAAGGTTTAATTCCAACAGCATTTGAGAGATAATACTAATTTAGAACTTCCCTAAAAAAAGGGGGGGGGGGCTTGAAAATGTTGTTAAGTGGGAAAATAACGACTATTAGTTGTCGAATTGACTTAAGAGCTATATAGCCAGTAAGTAATAGTCTGATTTTCAGACCACTGTACAGAATGGTCGTACGTTTTATGCTGCGCAAAGATTCAATCAGTTTAATTTTGGCCATTACAAGAAATGAGTTAAACATGTAGACAAATGCTCAAGTACACTTTACAGCTCATTTTATGTATGTTATTACCAAAGAAGAAAAAAAAGCCAGTCAGTCACTCAATAGTGTCTGACGGTGAAGTCTAGCAAGTAAACGGGTTTCCTTGCATAATTTGAATATTAGGACACTGCTAGCATTTAAATTTTACAGGTAGGACATACATGACATATTCATAATTCCTCATCTGCAAAATTCTACAGAATTTGATGTTGGCTGCAAAAGGGACATACATGTAGTGTCTTTTAATGTTTAATACAATTTGAGAAAGTACATGTCTTTTATTAAAGTAAGGTACTTTTCATGTAAATTCATGATGTGATGTTCAAGGACTGCTGTGACCTCTGACCTAGAGTACCTCCCCCCCCCTCCCCCTACATGCATAACAGTACTTCCCCTTAAATGACCGAAATAATAAATAAGTGAGCGGGACAGACTTATGTACAAACTGACAAACAGATGAGCTGAAAGACTGACTGACAGACACACAGACAACAATTTAGTATGGTAAAGTCTTTGGGTCTGGAGAAAACAATAGTGACCCCCCCCCCCCCATTCAGTAATTGTATTCTTCAGAAAAAAATGTAAACCTGCATTTGGTTAGTTGTTAAAGTCCGGGTTGCATAATATTTAAAACCTTTGTGTTTTTAAAGTAAAGTAAATTTCCCTTTAAAAGAAAGACCAGTGTGTTCACTTTTGTATACATAATGTCAATATTTGTTGAGGAAAGTATAATATGACAAGTGACACGCTTTGTACAGTGCACTGACACATCTTGAAAAAGAAGTATTGTAAGATGATTAAATATCTTGGCATATATTGTGGTCTGACTGCATACACAAGCACATCACACAATCATCTACTTTGAGCACATCTCTTCATATAAATATGCTTTCATTGGAATCTTTTAAAGGGAGAGGAAAAAAGAGAGGGCATTCAGCATTTCAAACAATCTACATACAGGTATTAGCGGGTATGTTTCATGCAAGGAACATATTAGTTTGTATATATTACTGTGAAGCCTTTACTTTGTTCTGTCATTAAGGAGGGGCAATCTAAACTCTTCAAAAAAAGTTCTGCAATTCTAGTTTAAGCGTTGCAGCGGCAAACAAAACGTTGTGATCTTTTAGTTTCCTTATTGACCACATTGCGAGACAAACTAATATCACTAGCGATATAATTTTCGATATTTCTCGTTATAATATTATATATGACATTGGTATCATTGAAAAGCCTGTTTATTCTCCTTTACAATGACGCACCATTTCTAATGATTATGTAATCACAGAATGTGCAGTTCACCTGAATATTGGGCCAAGTCAAAAGTAAAATTTTGCAAAATGCAATTGTTATTTCTTCAAAACATAATACATTGTCTAAACAAATGATGAATAATCTATTGACAATAAAGGGGAATAAAGAGGATTTTCAATGATAGTATGAAAATAAACAAACGAGAGAGATATCAATGCTAAAACTTGACTTCAAGATCTTCTTTTGAGGAGTTTATATCAGAATACTGTCGTTATTTCATGGTGTTTTATTCAAGAAATGCTTTCTTGCCTTTATTTCTGTACAAGTATTATGTGCATATGAATATGTCTTGCTTTGCAAAATAAAATGATACAGATTATATGAACAATAATCAAAGTACAACATGTTTATTTTGGTTTGATTTGAAATTGATTCTTGCTTGGTGAATTGTGAAATTTACAATAGTGTTAGATGAAGATGTATCCTTAGACCGGTAAGTGCTTTCTGTATTAAAGTTATTAAAATCTACCTATCATTCGATGTCCAGAAATTCTGTCTGTTAGTAATTTAAAATGGCGAGAACAGTTTGCGCCACTTTGAAATAACTGCAACCATGTATCTTTATGCAAAGCAGATGTACACTAGGTATAAATAACACAATTTTGCAGCAATTGAATTGAAATTGAGAAAATATCATCATTTATTTGCTCAAAATCTTGATACGCATCACTTTATGATTAAAACATTGTACAGGAATTCATTTGGTCACATCAAATACCAAATTCTCACAAGAAATTTTCCTAAGTGTAATTTTTAATACATGATTAATTATATAATCAGCTTGAAAAATAGTGTATGCTTTTCAAATTGACTCCATCTTTAAATTAACAATAACTCTCTCTCAATACTTAAAGACCAATCTTAAAAGGGGTCCAATTTGTAATATAAATCTTATACGATCACTTTATGAACGTTTTAATAATAGTAATTTTGTATACCCAGAGAAGCCCCATCAGCTTCAATACTGTTCTTCCTTAGGGCCCTGCAATTATTATTACCCCAGCAATCGCCAGGTACCCATTTACCCCTCGGTGGAGGGTGGCAAGTGTGGATTAATGCCTTACCAAAGGAAGTTAGGGCCAGACTGAGATTTGAATACTCGGCCAATTGAATGGGAGTCGAGTGAATGAGCCACTATACCACGACACATCCACATGTATACCTACTATCTGTATACATATATTTACTGGTATATAAACCTTGTTTCCAACATGATAATACTGTTTCTCAATTCAGATGTAAGTTCTGGCAGGAAGTGGCACAATAATTTGATTACTGACAAATTTGATATAACAAGCTACATGTAAAAAGTCTCCAGGGCTTTATTGCAGACCCTCATATTGTTTGCACACTATGAGAGGCTCTTCTACAATATTTCAATTTTTGTTTGTTAACACCAGCTTGTTCTCTCTTATTACCAGTACTTTGATTCTATATAGTATGTATAAATGAACACTTGTTTATTCTGCTGACCTTATAACATGGACATAACGGTACATGTAGTTCAATTGATTATAAATTTGCCTTTGGATATTACAAAGGTCATCCCTGAAAGACTTTATATGGTAAATAAAAATGATTAACATTTGGTTATAAAAGGTATTTTCAAAGGAATTCTAAACAACTAACACCAGCCACATAATCTAGCTTCCCATTGTTTTTAGGACAAATTTCCTTGGAAATTCTATCAAGATTTTCAAATGATAAAGTAGCTCTAACATTATCCAGCGTCAAAACCTGATTACTATTCCAATATTTGACACCCAAATCTCTTAATTTTGATCAAACATGTATTGACAGTTCATCAAAACAAATCATTGAATTAATGTTAGCATTGTCATGATTCAAATACAAAATATTATGATCATAAACATGTAGCACATAGATTTTGTTAATTTGACTTAATGATTCTTCTTTGCCAAGCTAAAAACACCATAACATGATTTTGTCTTTTTTCCACCTTTTTTTTCATTTCTACATCTACTTAAAGGTAAAGACCAGTATTGGAAACGCCCCCCTCTCAAAAAATGAAATGCAAGCTCTTATTACCTATCATGTGAAAGAATATGTTTTGACAAATACGTGATCATACAAATTTTGCTGAGAAACCGCCTACTAATTGATATATTTGGGACATTTTTATATCTATTTGGACCTGATAGATATAACGCACGTGTCGCATAGTCCCATATACACCTTTCTGTGTACAGTGCTTGTAACTTTACCAAGACTGGGCAAAAATTTATTATCATTTTGATGATTCCAGAACCTTGCAGTAGACACCAATACTTACTCACCCTTTTTCTGATCGATTCCACATTTCTTTCAAGATGCAATTGCATGACCAGAACTGATCTTTATATTTAACAGTAACAAAACTGATCAATTTGAATATTTAAAAAAAATCTTTAACATGACATGACAAAAAATAAATAAAACCCTGATACTGAAAAACCTAAGCAAAAAGGACTGACTACAAAAAAATAACCCTCAAAATGACACTTAATCTAATTTTTGTGAGAAGAAATGCATACCAAGCCAAAATTACTTCAGTTTATTTGAAAAATTGCAGCATCTGAGCATAGACTGTGTTTGCACTGAAGAAAATGTACTACAGTTTTAGATCTCTACATGTAGGTCATCGTTCAGATAGAAATAACATAAGTTAGAGATTTCGTCTCAAACGCAACGCAGCATCTTGGTGAAATTAGATGTATTTGTTAAAAAACTCAAAGTAAAGTATAACCGGTACATAGAAATTGGGGATGTCACAACATGAACAAATAAATTACTGTAGATAATATACATGTTAAATTTGAGTTGTTGTTTTGGAGATTTTATGATTTTTAATGATTGTTTCATTTAAAGGGCCAAGAAAATGAATGAATAAAATTCATTGTGCAGTGATTTTTACATCTCCTCCCACTGTCTTCTGCTTAATGTATGACTATATTCAGTATACTACATAAAGAATGCACAATGCCAAGACAGGGACGTTCCTTAACTCCGACGGACAAGGCATATGGCAAGCAGAAATCTTCCAAATAAATTTTGTCAAAATTATACCAAATATACTTCAAAATGATAGTACTTATTCATCTTTGATGTCTTGTGTCATCTGTGAACGAGCTGCAGCCCTTCTCCTCTCCTCCTTATTGCGCCACAGGCCGACGAGAATAAGCAGATGACAACAATGGAGGGCGCCAGAGCTAAGCGCCGTCGAAGGGTAGGTGTTCCAACAAAGTTCTATGACTCCAAGAATCAATAATCTGCAATAAGAGAGAAGAGGTCATATATTTAGATAAAAAATTAACACCCGAAAATAATTTTACATAAATGAATATTCAGATTAGGTTATACTTTACCAGCTTCAGTCAACTAATGGAAGAATCAGTGGACTGCCACAGTCAATGTTTGTCACACTTACAGTGTTATGTTCCATTTCATCCAAACAATGAGACAGTCTGGGTTTTCAATCTATAGTGAATGCAGAGTTAAAGATTACAAGTTTTGGGCCAAATAAAATGATTTTTCCATCTGTAATTTCCCGATTAATAGATTAAGTATTGTGGTCATTCACCTAGAGGGCAGCTATCTTGACTCTTTCACAAGAAAAAGCGAAAGGAGATATGAGACTTTACTTGGGCTATCCTCTCCAGACTTAATTATAATACAAGTGTGTCTTCCACGAACATATATTGACTACTCAACATTTTGTCATGCTATGTGTACAATTGATAATCTGGAGTTATTGTCGTAAGATAGCCTAGTGAAATGTATTGGCAGTAAAAACACATGCCAGGAAAGAAAAAAAAAGGCATCAACTTTGGTCCCGAAGGTGGATTTAAAGTTACAATCTGGCATATCTGACTGACATATACATTATATGATTTAGCCTAATCAAGTCCATAGAGGCATATTACCAGTTCCATGTTCTTGTAAGATGAACAACCACAATGCCATAAATCATGATTTTTCCACAATTATGCCTTTTGAGTTCCAAAGGTGTCTTTTCGTGCTACCAAAGGTTGTGTGTGACATTACTCTTGTGGATGTGCGTCCTTTTAAAGACCGTCAACACTACTGGGCCAGAAGGGATTAGACCACACAGCGAGGTCACTGACAGGTGGCTATCGCATTAACTCAGCTCTCAACTAACATAAGAAAAAGAGGATCATGGGGGACCAACAGGCACCGATTAGGGAAGTTTTCTATATAGAGGGAGCAAGTAGCTACAAGTAGGACAGTGGGGCTTGAAATCTTACCTTATCATGTCTGAGTAGTCTGTGGTCCACAGGAGATAAGGCAGAGTGTGGAAATACCAGACATAGAACTGATAGTGAAGGGTACGACTGAAAACCATGCCAACGAAGTTAGATGTGAAGAGGGTACCTACTATATGTACAGTGGAGTCAAGGAGAATAGCAAGCAAGCATTGTATCACAGAACCAAGTACAATTCTAGTGAGATTTGATATATTAGGTGTCAGATTTCGTTATATTTAAGATCTGAAGGTGTTGAGAAGCAAATACTGCAAGGAGCAGTCGAAGGAAAACGGGGTAGAGGTCGTCCACCAATATCTTGGACTGATGATATCAAGAAAGTGTCTGGACAAGGAATGAAAGGTGCAACACAAATGGAAGGTGAAAGAGTTGCATGGCGTGCTCTCGTGAAAACCACAGCAGCGCTTTACAGCACCACCTGAAGTTGATGCTGAAGTATTAAAATTGCATCACGCTCAAATAAGACATATTACATATTACAGGTATATCGAATTATCATTACCATTATTCATTATCAAATTGTCATTATCATTATAGTACTGCCAGAGTTCATTGCTAATTGATCCCTGGACTGTCCTACAATTGATGCTGAAAATGTAATATAAATATTGCTAAGTATATGAATATTGTTTATCTTTTCTTCATAATAATTTCAATTTAATTCAATTACGTTATTTAATAAACACAAGACTATATCATTGTTATAACTTCCGGAGCCTATGACCTACAAGCATTGCTTTCTCTTTAGGCTCCATCATATTTCTTCCTTTATTTAACTTAGTCTTATGTATTATTCGTTTTGTTTGTATAAATGCATCCAAAAAATGATTACAAAAATGTAACATGCCAAATGTAATGATGTATTATACAACATGTTAAATATATAAATAAACTTAAACTGAACTGTCCTACAATTGATGCTGAGTAGATTACAAGTACAAGCTTGCTTAACCCCTTTTTTGCTGTTGGAGGCGAATCCAGCTTAAAATTTTCTTTAATGTTGTACAGTGAAATTGGACTAAGAATGACTACGATAGTTCTGGTTATCTTTGAATCGAAATGGGTGTACATGTTATGTGTTGTAGAATATATCCCTAATAAGGATATTGTTTTGTATGCCAAAGTTAGCATCAAAGTAAATAAGTGTAATTAAAACTTAGATGTTTGCCTTTTGGAAATGTATTTAAGATAGATATTCATTTACAGAAGGGCTTAAAGCATACACGTACCACACTCCCGACATATTATAGCAATTCTTGGTTTATAAAGGATATAGTTCTCATTCAGGACACTCTTTTCACGCAAGGATGGGGCCTTCAGGAGCGCAAAGATACCCCCATTTCTCCTGGAAATGATACAAAGAGAAAACAAACAGTGAATAAATATGGTCCATGATAATAATAATAATAATAATGATGATACCCAGTTTATATATAGCGCTTATTAGAATCACTATTAAAGCACTTCCAAACTTGGAGATTATTACCCTGGCTTTAGCTGTGCTGCCATTGCGGCGCTCTAGCTTTTCAAAGAATTAATTCCTGCCAGGCATCCGCTTACATCACCTGGGTTGGGTGTGGCAAATGTTATGTAGATCAATGTCTTGCCAAAGGACATTAGGCTCGCGGCGGGTTTTGAACCACAGACCTATGATCGACAGTCCGGCGACTCAACCACTCGACCACGGCACCTCTGATATGAGTTAACTCTTTATATGCCACACAATTAATCTTCCTGTGTCACATTGTGTTTATCATGAGCTAGATATACCACAGATTTCAAGATTATTTAACCATTTCCGGTGCAAGATTAAAGATAAAGACCAGTTCTGGTCATGTGATCGCATTGTGAAATAAACGTTGTGGAATCGATCAGAAAAGGTTGATCATCTAGCATATAAGTATTGGTGTGTACTGCAAGGTTCTGGAATCATCAAAATCATAAGAAACTTGGCCCGGTCTTGGTAAAGTTACAAGCACTGTACACAGAAAGATGTATATGGGACTACGCACACGTGCGCGGCACGTGCGTAATATCTATCACATCCTAATAGATAAACTAATTTACCAAATATATCAATTATAAAGGTAGTTTCTCAGCAAAATTTGTATCATCACGTATTAGTCAAAACATATTCTTTCACAGGCATGATTGGTAATAAGAGCTTCCATTTCATTTTTTGAGAGGGCGGGCGTTTCCAAAACTGGTCTTTACCTTTAATCTATACTGGTTTTAAAAGGGTTGTCATGGAGCTAATCAAGACCTGATATAGGTAATTTTCAAACAGGTTGTTTCGCACAAAGCAACCCTTCCAATAAATATCCCAGAGTGCATTTGAAATGGGGCTTAAATGTAACAAAAGGGTAAGTTTAATATATTGGCAATAGCGAGAATTACCACTGCATGAGGCGATGTGTAGACACTACATCGATTTGAAATTATTCTTCAAAATGAGTCTAAATGTTGTACATCTATAAGAACACATTAAAAATGTTCAAGCAAAATTAATATTCAGAATATAAGAAGGAAATTGTCTCCTTTTCAAAATTTGGTTCAACGTCCTAGTCGCAAAAACATGGCAATAACAGCTGTAAATACCTACAAAATTCATTTGAAGGGAGGAGGGGGGCGGATTCGCAGATGGTTCGCTTTTCTTGGTTATCATCATGTCCAGAACACTTTGGATTGTTTGTTTGTTTGTTTTACATGACTGCTATGAAAGCATGTGCTTGTAAGTAAGTAACCAGAGGACTGACAGGATTTGGTAATGAGGATTAATGCCTTACCAAAGGGCAGTAGCGCATCGACTTGGATTCGAACCCAGGACCTGCCGGTTGCGAGACCACCGCTCTACCACTGAGCCATAGCGCATCCTCTTGATTTTGCATCCTAGACTAATAACTTCAAAGACTACCTATCAGTACTTATCTCACCTGTTCCAGCGATGGACAACGAAGAGAAACAGCACGAGGAGGTGAAGAAAGACAAGACTCAACTGAAAGTAGCGATTTAAGAACAGCTCTTCTGGAATGAGTCGCCAGTTGACCGTCCACTTATAGAAGAACTGTCGGCTGAGCTCAAACGACCGCAGGATGTAAGCTTCAGGATTGGCTACTAAGAAGGGCCAAGCAAGACCAAGCTGTTCAAAGAAAATGTGTGGTGGAATAAAGTTTGTAAAGATACAGGTAAAAGAACTGTGTATGGTGCAGCTGGATAAGGGAGGGTGGGAGAAAATATTCTTAACCCATTGTATTGTTACTCAAATTCTTCATGAGAAGCTATGCTTATGTGTCTTTTAAAGGGATTGGGTATCTTTGCCTTAGATTATAAACAAAATCTTGGATTTAGCTCATGCTGCAATCGTAATTATTAACCCAGGACTTCTACAAGCCAATCTCTTGTATGATTATCCAGATATTTATGAATGGAAATCGAAATTTCAATTACCATTTTTCCAAAGGTTTTTATAAAACTACAGTCTATTGGGGAAAACGTGTATGGTAAAACTGGTCACTCAAAGATTTTTTTTACTTTTTTGAGGCACTTCATGGACATTTTGAAGCACAATTTTTTTAAGGTTTCAATATAACACCATTTTCACACACACTGATAACACGAAAGGGCCATGCATCTCAGATATGTAAAACAGGAAACATTGTTAAATGATGCCTTTAAATCATACCTGGACTAAAGCACATACAGCAAGCCTGGGTATAGTCCACCAGAAGCCAAATTGAGTGAGAAGGAGAATGAGAAGACCTGGAGCAAACAGCAGGACATTCATCTTGACGCTTACTGCTATACTGTATGAATAACAAAAGAAATCACGATACAAAGATATTAATATTGGAAAAATTACACCACAGGGAACACATAGTCATTAATATTCATAAACGATGCATATTTGATTAATGCCTACTAAAAGAATCAGATTTCATGAAAAACTTGACACTGGCCTGTTGGCCCCAGGCCAGTAAAATGTCAGAAAAAGGTATTACTGGTAAGAACGGGCAAGTAAAATGTTTGCTCTTTCATTAACATTAAATGAGAAATTGTAAAGCACCAGTAATAATTCTTATGATGCGAAAATGGTGATTAAATGCATAATGAAAATAATGATACAACTTAATTGTTTGGATATTTTGGGCCAATGAGAATTTGGTTCAAGACAGAAGTAGAAGTGAGAAACAAATTATAGTTTAGACTTGCATTATATTCATGGAAATATGAGCCACTTTCCTATTAACTAACATTATAAACCAATTAAAACAAAAACAAGAGTCAGATATTTCAACAACAACAACAAAATGATTGTATTTCACTTTTTTATCAAACTAATACAATGAAACGTACAGATTTGCATCTCTGAACTAATGACGCACACATTCACTGCCTCGTTGTTTTTGCAGGGCATACCAAATCAGTCTTGGGCTGTGCAAACTTACAAGCAAAATATCTGTCTGTCCTGCTCCCTTTGATTGAGAACAAAGTCCCGAAAGCAGAAGAAACATTTCCAATACCAGGCCCAACAGATTTGCCACACCAGGCACAGCCTTTTTTGTGCCATCAATTATAAACTTACTGTACATAAAGACAAATCAAAATATTCTTATACCAATGATAAAGGAAATAGAAATTACTCTAGAATGTAAGACATCATTTTCAAATGTCAGATTACCTTTACCATTTAGTGAGCTTGATTATCAAAAAATAAAACTACATTCATTATCTGATATTTTAAAACTTTCCCTAATCTGTTTCCTTTTTGGCTTTACTTCCTATGAATAGTTATTATTTCTTATGACAGGACCCAACACACAACTGTAGAATACTGTACCCTAGTTACAAAATTATTTCCTAAATGCTAGAGCAAAGCTGGTGGAAATTTCACGAAACAACAGCAAATTACCCCCATCACACAACGAACCCTAACCTTGACCCTTATCCTTGGGCATAATAAAGATAATGACCCTGGTACATTGTACTGATGCATATGGTGGGGTATTCTGCAGTTAAAGGTACAGAACAGTTTTGGAAATGCCCCGCTCTCAAAAAATGAAATGGAAGCTCTTATTACCAATCATGTGAAAGAATATGTTTTGACTAATACGTGATGATACAACTTTTGCTGGGAAACCACCTTCTAATTGATATATTTGGTACATTAATATATCTATCCGGAATTCCGGGCTGGATAGATATCGCGAAGTCCCATATACATCTTTTTGTGTACAGTGCTTGTACATGTAAATTTACCAAGACTGGGCCAAATTTCTTATCATTTTGATGATTCCAGAACCTTGCAATACACACCAATACTTATATGCTAGATGATCAACCTTTTCTGATCGATTCCACAATGTTTCTTTCACAATGCAATCGCATGACCAGAACTGGTCTATACCTTTAAGCTATTTACTAAGTTATTCAAACCATATTCCTACCTGAAGAAAAAGCACCCTATGGTCCAGCGTCTATCCATGAACAAACAGATGGCTACATAGAGGAAGTACATGGCTACTGGGTCATTGAAGAGACGTAGCACATAAATGGAATGAACTCGGTAGGAGGCACAGCACATGAAGAAAAACACATACGGTGGTATCTGCAAGGAAGAATGTAAAAGAAATTTAGTAATGTGTTTATTCATGACTTTTACATGGCAGTTTTCAAATAATAGAAAGGAAGAAACTCTGTTCAGATTCCATAAAGGCTTGTTCATGTAGCACAGTAATACGTTTTGGTTTCCTGCAGGAATCTTTTAAAGGTAAAGACCAGTATTGGAAACGCCCCAATTTCAAAAAATGAAATGGAAGCTCTCATTACCAATCATGTGAAAGAATATGTTTTGACTAATACATGATGAAAAAATTTGCCGGGAAACCGCCTAATAATTCATATATTTGGTAAATTTGTTTCTCTCATGGTCTGTGAGAGATATAGGGTAGTCCCATATACATCTTTCTGTGTATAGTGCTTGTAACTTTACGAAGAATGGGTCAAATTTCTTATCATTTTGATGATTCCAGAACCTTGCAGATGCTAGATGCTAGATGATCAACCTTTTCTGATCGATTCCACAACGTTTCTTTAACAATGCAATCGCATGACCATAACTGGTCTTTACCTTTAAGCAAATTTGAGCTTACTTCACTTGACACATTAATACCGATAAGTGAATAGGTTAGGAAATTGCACCTTGCCTTGCAAGTCTCTTGCGATCATAACTTGAGAGGCATTGTAGTACCGGTATTATAAAACCCAAAGCTACATGCATTGTGAACTGGAAATAAATCAGTTTTGTAAGTCTATCATTTTCCAGCTTGAAGCTTTCATGAATCATCTCGACCATTCACAGAATAAGCAAAAGTTTGTGGCTTTTCGGTATTTTACTGGACCAACCTTTTTTGTCCTCATGTAGATCTTGAAGACCATGATTAGGTTCATGAGGTAGAGAGCCATGAAGATATACTGGGCTAACTTGATGTTTGTACCTGCTTCAGTAGCATAGTACAGAGCCATAAAGATGTATACAAAACCAGCTGGGTACCTTCAGATAAGGAAAGAAGAAAGAAAATATACTGGAAGGAAATGTTCATAAATGGTCATTTACAGGAGAACATTATTACAAAAATAAGGTTCTTTGATGCTCAAGCTTGCAAAAATATATTAAAAAATGACTGCCTTTTATGTACAAGGAAAAAAAGAAACATGGGTTTTCAGTAAAAGGGAAACAAATATATGCCCTCAGTTAAGAAGTAAAAAAGAAAAGAGTGAATTCTGGTGTCTCAAAAGTCAAAAAGCATGCTACATTTGAATTCGACTTCATGATCACATCTTCACCTTCAGTTGCTTTATCTATCCTTATTTACTATGAACATATTGTTAGTTAGTGAGCTGAGGAAGGAATTCACATTTTCCCCTCAGTCGTGCCAACAATCTGTACAGTGATATACATGACGGATTTGTCGGTTCATGATAACGCAGATTAGCATCTTATTGCTGGTTTTTACCCATTCAGAGCTGTTAACATCAAACCCTATCCATCAATTACAGTGTGTACAATTTTTTTAAATAAAGAATCACTACATCTGAATCCCCTACAACAGGAACAGGAACTTCAGGAAGCCTCATTGTGATACGGAGTAGTATAAAGTTTTATACCGATTAAACAAGCCTTTTAACCCATTGCCTACTGAAACTGTGTGGTCCTTGTATTAAAGGTAAAGACCAGTATTGAAAACGCCCCAATTTCAAAAAAAGGAATGGAAGCTCTTTATTACCAATCATGTGAAAGAATATGTCTAATACATGATGATAAAAAATTTGCCGGGAAACCGCCTACTAATTGATATATTTGGTAAATTAGTTTATCTATTGGACTGTGAGAGATAAATGCATGTCTCGCACACATGTGCGTAGTCCCATATACATCTTTCTGTGTACAGTGCTTGTAACTTTACAAAGACTGGGCCAAATTTCTTATCATTTTGATGATTCCAGAACCTTGCAGTACACACCAATACTTATATGCTAGATCGTCAACCGTTTCTGATTGATTCCACAACGTTTCTTTCACAATGCAATCACATGACCATAACTGGTCTTTATCTTTAAGCCTATGGGAATTAGAAAGTTCAGTAGTCAACAGGTTAGAATCACATTTGGAGCACTTCAAAGTTCAAAGTTTATCTATGACAATTCAGACAATGGATCAAAAGCTTGGTTGCACTGAAGGGGTTAAGATAGTTCACTAGATTTTGACTTACACCAGAGGTCCTGTATCACCCTTGAGTTCCATATAGTCATAAGTGCCATTGATGACTCCTTCTACTTCTTGCATGTACGCCTTCCAGTCTATCTCAGTATCTGTGATATAAAGACACAATGTCATCATCACTGGCTATGGTCATGAAACAAATTTTATGTTTACACTTGGTGACTTTGTGTTTTATGTTCACACTCAGTGACTTTGTGTTCTATGTTTTATGTTCACACTAAGGATCGTCCACAATTTCGCGGACGATTCTTATTTCCAATCCGCGCAATGGCGATGCGAAAAACGTATTTCGCGGACGATTCTTATTTCCAATCCGCGCAATGGCGATGCGAAAAACGTATTCCGCGATGGTGCTCCTAGATTTATTTCACACTTACTTTGCAAAGATACTTTCATGTTATGATAAATCCTCGGTAAGACGGACAACCCATAAAAGTAAACGGTGAAGTGGGGGTATTTTATTACGCAGAATCCGTTTTTTTGCATTGCCAGCACAAAGATTGGGAGCCCAACACCTGCGGAGCCCAACACCTGCAGAGCCCCAACGGTAAAAAAATCATCCTTGTCCTTGACTAGGCAAATTCATGCAAAAAAATATATTAAAAAAATTGACTTGAAAACACATCACACAATTAGTCTGAACCGAGTCAGGAGCAAATTTGAAGAAATTATATTTTTAAATGTTGTAAAACCAAAGATATAAGAAGAAAACTGACCAAGTATCTGTACTAAAAATCGTACATGTAAAATTGGTCGTAGACATTCGACAGCTGAATATGACGCGCACGGTTGCATTACGTGCCTTCTCGAATCCAAAATCGTACCTCACACACACAATCTCGCCATACCGCGAATGGTCCGTCTTGGGGAGCTAGCCGGCTAGCTGAGAGTTTGCAGCGATACCAACGCAGCTTCGGAGCTCCGCAGCGCGCCATTTTAGCGGGACTCGGAAAGGTTTGCGATGGGAAGGCAGCAGCCTAGCTTTTTGCCCAAACAACGCTAGATCGGCTGCTGGCAAAATGAAAATAACTACGATTGAGAACATCGTCGGTTTCTTAACTTTTCAGTGAGATAATTCTGAATTCTAATTGAGACTATATAATAAATTAAATCGACAAAGAAACCTCGGTAGAACTCTTATAACTATACAAAAGCTTGTTTATTTCTTCATTTGACATTTTGTTTTCGACCATTTTTTCGTGCGCGAGTCAAACTTTCAACACGCAAGGAATGGGGAACACTCGCGGACCTCGTAACAAATTTGTTGCAAAAAAAAAATTTCAAGGGTGATTTTGAAGCAGTGAAGAACATTGGCGCTGCAATGCGCAGAAATATACTTGAAAGAAACTTAAAAAATAATACCTGAATTTTCAGAAAATCGTATTTGTATTAGTGTACCTAGATGTGACTTGTTTATAAATCAGATTTTATGAAGATTTGTCGGGAAATTTTTTTTTCCGTTTGGTGGTCATTTCTAGGCTAATATTTTAAAAGTTGCATCAGTAATGGGCGCGATGTTTCTCTTATCGTACTCGCATGTTATTTCTACATAACATAGGATGGTTAAGGGTAAGACCAGATAACAATATCCAAGTTTTGGGCTGATTATTGCCGACCCACCGCAGCAAGGCCATTCAGATTTTCGTACGCGCGCAAAGCGCCCTCTAGTGCCCCATGAATGTGCCTACCTTGACCTTATTTGTTACTATTTTTAGGACGCGGTTTGTCCGCCTTTCGCGCCTCTACTGTAGTACTGATCAGCAAATGGAATTGGCGAGTCATGTCTTGCGGATCTCAATGATAATAAAACTCTGTCCCAGGCGTAAATACTCATTTTTGATTGATAGTAGGGTAATTATGATACATAACACTCAAATGCACGCATGAAAACTCATGTCTATTTCTGATAACAAATTTCTCAATGAATGGGACTGAAGGAGAAAATGACTGAACTTACACTTTACTTTTTCGATCACAGTGACATTCATAAACAACTCTGTAATGAATAAGACGGTTGCAGAAAACCACAGGTACTTTCTGTCCGTAAGAAGTGATTTGATCGAAATATCATATCGACTACGAGCTGGTTCACTCGGTTGATTTTGAGGAGGCATCTTGAATTTTATTAACGTGGCACCGTTACCAACTCAACCAACCAAAACTCACGAAAGCTTGTCGAAGTCGACCCCAACGGCTTTGTGCATGGAGTACTTCTTGTTGGGGTGAAGTAGAAAGAGTCCAACTTGTAATTGGATTAAAAAAAACAGCAAATGCAAGCAGTTGGTCAATTAATCACCCCCAAAAAGAAAAGGAAGTGCGAAGATCCCAATCCAGCTCCTAATAAGGCACAGAGTTAATCTGGCTGAGAGGTTCATTTGTCTCCACAGTAGAAAGAGATCTTCATGAATTGGAAAATCGTTACTTTTTATTATAACAGATCTAGTTTTCCAGATCAAGTTTTGTTTTCAATAACCATTTTCCCCGGATTTTTGTCCTGCCTTCGTCTGTAGGAGATTGATTTACTTATCAATATTGAAATATTGGAGAGAAAAAAACATTCTCCAAGTATATAAACTCCTTTTTGTAATATAAAATTTGATTACTATTTTTGTATTTTATTTTATTTTCAGGAGTCTAAGGCAGCGTTTTCAACCTTTATTTTAGTGACGGTACCCTTTTCAGAAATAACAAGTTTCGCGTCACCCCAATTAAATCCATTTACAACAAGATTCATTTTGCATCACTCTTACTCACACTCGTAGTGCCTGTACACACACGCACATTGGTTTCTAAATTTTGCGCGCGAGCAAATCGAGTGAGCAAAATAAAGACACTAGTAATATGATTTTTTAAAATTATTTATGATCAACACACCAGATAAAAGCGTGCTGGCAGCTCGCTGTCGAATACATGAATACAACAATCATCATGTGCGATAAATTCGATGCACTAATAAAAGGAGATTCTGGCATCTCATAATGGCTCAGAAGTAAGAATTATCCTGTTCTAAATGTTGCGAACGAGTGGAGCGAACGGGTGTGGTAAAAATGTGATTTCGATATATAAAAGATATAAAGTTCGGACACCTGGTTGCTCATGATCATATACAGTTTCCGAGAAAGACCGGTGCCACTCCCTCCTTTTGTAACAGTATGAAACTTTTATTTAAACTAGAAACAAACTTTGTCAAACTTACATGTTATTCATTATATTCATTTGTATGTTTCTTTGTATTGATATGAAAAAGTGGAAATAAAACAAACAAACAAACAAACAAATAGAAGGACTCGCGTTGAGCCTCTGACCGTGACAAATTAAACTGTGTGAAAGTATAACCAATTTAGAAACAGGGTTTTGGCGTTGATGTTGGGGATGATATTTTTAAGTTTGAAGAAAAAGAAACAGAAGAAAGAAGAAAAAAAAAAAAAAAAAAAAAAAAAAAAAAATCGAAATTCTCGTGATTATACACTGTCGCTCATATATTTTTTTACCCCAATTTATGGAATTATTAATTTTTGACGATGATTTATTCCTAATAGATCTAGATAATAGAATACATTCTCAGATTTTATTGAAAAATAAATTGCAAGTGTTTGTTTTGCGTGACTGCTAAAGCATGTGTATGCTACTATGCTTATCAACTAGGGGACCTACGCCCTTGATGACAGTAATGAGGATTAATGCCCCACAAAAGCGCATAGCACATCGACACGGTTTTGATCCTGGGGCCTCACAGTTACGAGGCCATTGCTTGGCCACTTAACCATGACTGTACGCAACGGGGGCTAGGGTAGGGGCACTTCCCACAAATTAAAAAAAGAAAAAAGAAAATGCAATAAATTTTCAATAATTCATTGCATTTTACCCCGGCCCCCAACATTAAAAAATCCTCTGTACGACCAAATGATAATTCTGTAAACTATTTAATCTTCACAAAGATCAATAACTCAGACGAACATATTAGCACCAGACGGAAAATGCACCTTGACATAGTGACTTAGAAAAAGAAAGAAAGAAGGAGAAGAAAAAGAAGAAGAATATATATATATACGTATATATATCTCAGCACCCCCGGTGAAAAAAAATCGTTCCCAGGGCCCCCATGGGGGGTGGCTCATTTGAACATTTTCGGCTACTCTAGTCAGTAAATTAGGTCCGAAACCCCCATTCAAAAATGATCTAGAGATATTCCTGGATGCATCCTGAAATTAGAGCGGAAATACACAGCTCTCCCTTTGAAGACAGATATTAGCTGACAAAGGCAATCTAACCCATGAGTATTGACTAAATCAATCAAAAAAATAAAATCAAAGAATAATACTGAAAGGAATGTTGACCCTTTCATAGAAACATGACCCGAAGGAGAGAAAATAAAAAGATTATATAAGTGAAAGTTACATAAATCGAATAAAGAATATCAAGTCATCTTTTTATGAAGGGTCAATTAACATTAAATTGCTCAATAATTATTATTTCTGCTATGAGAGAAAGTTTGTTCACATCATTATCAGAACTTCCACGAATATTGCAGCTAAAAGTGAAGGGGTAAAGTGAAATAAAGATCCAGGTCAATATATCAATTTAAAGGGATAGTTGAGTTCTGTTTTCAGACCGCAAATGTCTTCAAAGTGCATGGTTATTGCCAGGCGCGGATCCAGGATTTCTTAGGGGGGGGGGCCCAAATTTCAAATTATGCGAGCCAAATATTGGTACGTAATGGTGACCAACAGTGGCGTAATGCGGGGGGGGGGGGGGGGGGGGGGGGTCGGTGCAAACGCGAAACGCGGAAGCTTTGACGTTTTATTAAATTATTCGAGAAAGAAGACGACTCGTTGTACCGTTCTCGACTCTTAATCTTCGTCTGAATTAAGTTTTTCCCCTCCCGCGCGAAGCGCGGAAAATTTTACGATTTATTAAATTATTAGAGAAAGAAGACGATTCGTTGTAAAGTTCTTGACTCTTAATCCTTGTCTAAATTCAGCCCCTCTCCCCTCCTGCGCAAAGCGCGGAAGCTTTGACGTTTCATTAAACTATTAAAGAAAGAAGACGATTCGTTGTACCGTTCTCGACTATTAATCTTCGTCTGAATTTAGTTTTTCCCCTCCCGCGCGAAGCGCGGAAAATTTTACGATTTATTAAATTATTAGAGAAAGAAGACGATTCGTTGTAAAGTTCTCGACTCTTAATCCTCGTCTAAATTCAGTCACCCCCTCTCCCTCCTGCGCGAAGCGCGGAAGCTTTGACGTTTCATTAAACTATTAAAGAAAGAAGACGATTCGTTATAGAGTTCTCGACTCTTAATCCTTGTCTGAATTCAGGTCCCCCCCCTCTCTTCCCGTGCGAAGCGCGGAAGCTTTTAAGTTTCATAAGATTGTGAGAGAAAGAAGACGATTGGCTGTACAGTTCTCGACTCTTAATCCTCGTATGAATTTAGTTTTTCCCAATTAAACTATTGAAGAAAGAAGACGATTCGTTGTACCGTTCTCGACTCTTAATCCTCGTATGAATTTAGTTTTTCCCCATTAAACTATTGAAGAAAGAAGACGATTCGTTGTACCGTTCTCGACTCTTAATCCTCGTATGAATTTAGTTTTTCCCCTCCCGCGCGAAGCGCGGAAAATTTTACGATTTATTAAATTATTAGAGAAAGAAGACGATTCGTTGTAAAGTTCTCGACTCTTAATCCTCGTCTAAATTCAGTCACCCCCTCTCCCTCCTGCGCGAAGCGCGGAAGCTTTGACGTTTCATTAAACTATTAAAGAAAGAAGACGATTCGTTATAGAGTTCTCGACTCTTAATCCTTGTCTGAATTCAGGTCCCCCCCCCTCTCTTCCCGTGCGAAGCGCGGAAGCTTTTAAGTTTCATAAGATTGTGAGAGAAAGAAGACGATTGGCTGTACAGTTCTCGACTCTTAATCCTCGTCTAAATTCAGTCACCCCCTCTCCCTCCTGCGCGAAGCGCGGAAGCTTTGACGTTTCATTAAACTATTAAAGAAAGAAGACGATTCGTTATAGAGTTCTCGACTCTTAATCCTTGTCTGAATTCAGGTCCCCCCCCTCTCTTCCCGTGCGAAGCGCGGAAGCTTTTAAGTTTGATAAGATTGTGAGAGAAAGAAGACGATTGGCTGTACAGTTCTCGACTCTTAATCCTCGTCTGAATTCAGGTCCCCCCCTCCCCCTCCCACGCGAAGCGCGGAAGCTTTTAAGTTCCATAAGATTATGAGAGAAAGAAGACGATTGGCTGTACAGTTCTCGACTCTTAATCCTCGTCTGAATTCAGGTCTCCCCCCCCCTCCCGCGCGAAGCGCGGAAGTTTTTAAGTTTCATAAGATTATGAGAGAAAGAAGACGATTGGCTGTACAGTTCTCGACTCTTAATCCTCGTCTGAATTCAGGTCCCCCCCCCTCCCCCTCCCACGCGAAGCGCGGAAGCTTTTAAGTTCCATAAGATTATGAGAGAAAGAAGACGATTGGCTGTACAGTTCTCGACTCTTAATCCTCGTCTGAATTCAGGTCTCCCCCCCTCCCGCGCGAAGCGCGGAAGTTTTTAAGTTTCATAAGATTATGAGAGAAAGAAGACGATTGGCTGTACAGTTCTCGACTATAAATCCTCGTCTTAATTCAAGCTTTTAATTTTCATTAAATCATTAGAGAAAGAAGACGATTCGTTGTACCGTTCTCGAAAATAATCCTCGTCGGAATTTAGTTTCCCCCCATCCCGCGCGAAGCGCGGAAGCTTTTACGTTTCATTAAATCATTAAAGATTCGTATTACCGTTCTCGCCTCTGAATCCTCGTCTTAATTCAGAATCCCCCTCCCGCGCAAAGCGCGGAAGCTTTGACGTTTCATAAGATTATGAGAGAAAGAAGACGATTCGCTGTACCGTTCTCTATACTCTTAATCCTTGTCTGAATTTCAAAGATGTTCTTTGTCTGCTACTTTTTCTTCCTATGTCCTCTTCCGATTTGGGGGGACCGCGGTCAGATAAGCATTCAGGGGCCCGCCTTAGGGCCCTGATGGGGTCGAGGCGGCGGAGCCGGCCCCGGAAACTCAGGGGTTTTAGGCGTTTAATTAAGGTCAGATGAGCATTTTTTTAAAATACCTATTATTTTGTGACACTGGAAGGTCACTATTTGGCGTAGGGTCCAGGGGGCGGAGCCCTCCAAAAGAGGGGTTT